AAATAAAAAATTAGTATTTTAATAAAATAACCTCCATTTTAAGTAAGTAGGTCACTTTTGGGTTCAATTGCATCATTTTGCGTTGTTCAGGGTCCTAATTGCATATTTTTTTGAGTTGAGTGGCCTAATAGCATTTTCGTGTGTAGTTTGATGGCTAATTTGATTCTTATTCCTTATTATTATTACATTAAATCATTTTAAAGTGAATTTGATGTCCGAAGTCGCGTATACAAGGAAGAAATACGAAGAATTATACATTAGACAGATGAAATAACTACTTTATCATTTCATTTAAAGTCCACTTTACTGTAATTGACGAAAGGACCTCAATTGAAAAGAAATTGAAAGTCAAGGGACGGTATAGTGTCCAAATTAAAAGTCGATGATTAATTTTAAAAAATCAATATAGTCAAAGGACCATTGCTCAAATTAATTCAAAATTTAAGTATTTAATTTACTTTTTAAGTAAAGTTCGAAGATTTATTTGACTATTTTCCTTTTATTCTTTTTGGGAGGAGAGGACGTGTCAATGAAATAATATCCAGCGAGACAAAAGAAGATAGTGTGAGTCATACAAGAGTCAGACAAGTAATTGTTTAATGTCCGGGCAGATCAGAGCAACTTGGCTGCCCAAACCTTCTCCCTTCTGCCCGCTGCCCGTTATACCAGTTTCCATCTCCTCTATAAAAGGCAAAGAAAAACCCTACTTTCAGTACTTTGTGCCTCCATTTCAAACCCCCCTCCTATCTGGGTTTTCTAAGATCCTCTCATCTTTTTTCTTGAAGCTAAGCTAAGCTCTTGTTATTTTTGGTTATTCCGAGGTTGTTTTTCCATCAATTAAGGTTTGCTCTTTAGATATATATTGCTTTAGGGGTATATATATGTTATGCTTTTTGAATCAAAAGATTTATTTGAAAAGAATATTCTTTAATTTGTATATTCGACATTATATTATTATTATAAAATGTGCAAAAAACTTCCATCCGCTTGTTACGTGTAAATGGGCAAAGCGGCCATATTTTGCACAAAGTAAAAAATGATGAACAACCTTAATTACTTACTAGGTTGTTCTTGCTCATGTCCTTTAAGAGGTTAATGTCAGATCTAATGAGATTAGCCTTTTAATAGTTACAGCAGACATTTTTTTATTTGAATTAATTTTTATTTTGTTTATAACTTTTTTTTTCTTTTAATTATTAAATTTAAAATTGAACAGATTTTTTTTTTTTTTTTTGAATCTCAGATTTAAATCCATTTTTAAAAATAATTGTATTAACCAAAAAAATATATATATAAAAGGTACACGGTGCGGCAGCTAGCTTTTGCTGCCAAATGATAACAAAAGTTGCCATTAAACAACAAATGCAATTATGCAAGTTTGCTAGTACTTTAAAAAAAATTTTTTTTTTTTTAAAAATTTTACATTATCTAGCAAGTGGAACATTGACACTCTTAAAACTCAGTTTGGAGAGATTAGAGAGGACGATGTCGTAAGGCAAAGAATCAAAGTAGTATGCTTTTTTGACATCTTCAGTCTTTTCTGACCACTAGGGCTGTAAATCCCTTTTATTTATATTGATATTTTGATCTTAATAATGATAGGACAAAAATATCCTTAATAATTTAAAATTTTGACAAGACTTGAACGGAGAGGTGATATGAGTGATTAATTTTAGTACTAAATTAATAGTCGAATTGGGACGTTTAGTGATGATGACCTTTTCTACCTTTTCTCCATTATTCGATTTTGCCTCATGATTTGTGCTTGGATAGGTCATTGGTTGCACTATTGATGAAAATTGGTAGAAATCAAATATATGATTTGAAATTATTATTTTACTAATTGGTATTTATATTTGTTACTTATAAAGGAAATTGTAATGTTTTTAAATCAAAATTTTAAAGTATTATTACACCTTTTATAAGTAATATAAATATTTTATTTTTAATTAGTATTATATTTTTTTAATATAATTATATATTTTTATTTTGATCGGGCTCTTAACTTAGTTTGAGTCATTTATTGTTTTTAATTTGTTACTTTTTTTAATGATAAAATGTAATTCATCTATATATATATATATATATATATATATATATATATATATATATAAGTGTCATTTTCCCGCTCATTGTAGACAAAAAAAATGTAGTTTGAAATTTAAAATCAATCAACGTACCATTACTATACTTAACAAAATTAAAGTTGCTATAAAGAATTATTACATAATAAATTTGGTAAATCTTATAATAATTAATCTTACAAAACTTATACTTTTTGACCGTGCATCGCATAGGGCATGGGTATTAATACTTTTTTAATTTTGAAGTTTCACGTTTGAAATTTTATATCATTTATTCATTTGTTTTTTCTCATGAAAAAATAAAGAATTATTTATTTATTATATATAGTTGTATTTCTTAATTTTTAAAATTTGGTATATATATATGGTATCTAATAACACAATGCTTTATAATGATACTAGTAGTATGTTGTGATGTTCAATGTAACAACCAATTTAGTATTGCCGAAAGAAAAATACATTTCATAATGAATTTTAATGATTGATGTTTGATTTTATACTTTTTAAAACATTATCAATAATAAAGTTGTTTAAATTTTATATTGTGCATCGCACTAGACAAATACTAATACAATTATTAAAATCATACATTTCTACCAAATGTTCATTATCATTGTTGAACGAACACAATCCCATACATACAGTAAGGGCTCGTTTGGTTCGCGGAAAATATTTTAAGGGAAGTGGAATTAGAATTCCATGGAAAAACAATTATTAAGAAGATGAATTTCATTGTTTGGTCGGTGAAAAAAGAATTACTAAGAATACTAATTCTATTGTTTGGTTAGATTTGGAATGGTAAGGAATAATGAGTATAAAGACATATATGTCCCTACAAATTAATAAAAGTAATATAATTAATTAAAAAAGAAAGCAAGGGTAAAATAGGCAATCTATTCACTTTCTCTTCCCATCTTCCATGAAAAACAAAATCCTTGGTCCAACCAAGAATTTTGTTTTTCTCAAATTTGAGGAATTCATTTTCCAATGGAAAATGAATTCCATGAACCAAACATTAGAAAACAACATTTTCCTTCACTTTAAGGAAAATGTTGGAAAACATTTTCCATGAACCAAACATCCCCTAAGGAAGGAGATCAAAAGGGGAAAACGTAGGAACAGAGGAAAAAAAATGAATTTCAAGATACGTATTTTATTAGAATTGTTCTTAACGTACCACACAATAAGCCTTTCCTATATGCTACACTTGATAAGGGAATTTTAGGAGCTACAAAAATATTACACTTTTCTTTATAATTTTTTTTTTTTTTTGAGATGGATAAATATATATTTTTCAGGAGAACATTTGTTGTTGATGGTAACAATATTTTGCTATGGGTCTAAATAAGAAATTTAGTCATTTAAACTCAAAAATCGTGAAGACAAAGAAAAACATAAAAAACAAATATGAGTAAAAGTTTGTTCATTTTGTGCATTATTAGAAACTGAGAATAATATGAGATGTTGAGTTGGCATTTAAAAAAGGAAAGAAGAATATTTATCCTTATGCCACATTGGATTGTAATTTAAACAATTGCAAAGATGGTTTCACTCTAATATTGATTTTCAGGTTATATAGCAAATGTGAGGTGGAAAAGAGAAAAAGGGAAAAGAGAAAGAAAAAGATTCTTGCATGAGAATTGTTGTTGTTGTTTTTGTTTTTTTTTTTTTTTTTTTTTTTTTTTTTTGGGTCTCCTAATGTGGACTCATCAAAAGTTTGTTGTTTTTTGTTTTTTGTTTTTTTTTTTGTTTTTTTTTGTTTTTTTGTTTTTTTGTTTTGATTTAAATAAACAAAAGTTAGTGTGTGTTAAGTGCACCAGTAGCGCTCAGTGAACGCGTGTACAATACATGCACCACTAGTTGGCGACAAACTAATTGCCCTCATTTATTGTATTTTTTTTGGCTTTTTTTTTTTCTTGTTTTTTTTTTCCTTCATCCTTCTCTCCTACTTAGCTCCTCAAAACTTGTGAAAAAAATATAGTAATGAGGTTACCTCTAATAAAGTACTGAAATAGTGGAACGATAATATTGCTGTTATGGAAATTGGAAACACCAATTTTGTCGTAGTGCAATGCCACTGAACAAGATTTGTAGAGTTACAAAACTTTTGATTGGAAGGAAGGAATTAATGAGAAAATAGAGTAAATTACACTTTTAGTTCTTGATTATATGGGGCGTGTTAATTTTGGTACGTGACTTTTAAAATTAACAATTTAGTCCTTTAACTATGTTTTTTTAGCAGATTTGGTCCTTCCGGCTAAATTATCGATGGAAATTGGCCGAAAAAACGTTTGCCATTTTAATTTGTTTAATTCGGAGGGCAAATCAGTCCTTCCATATTCTACCTTCTTCTTCTCCGTTCTTCTTCTTCGAAAATATACGCCGACGGTGGGATAGATGAATTAGACGTTAAATACTGAATTAATTTCCTCTCAGAGTGGCCCTTTGAAGTTGAAAGTGGCCTTCTGAGTTTTGACCACACCAAACTAAAATGTTTCTAACGGAAAGAAAACTGTGTTCCCCACAAACAAAGCATTTGAGCAAATCAGAAAACTCATCTAACCCACTCCAAGGTTGGCGATCAAGGTTCCAAACGGTACCCATTTCAGCAAGCCCGATTTCCCCAGACCCCGTCCATTTAATCGTGCTAAGAACGGAGAAGATGAAGGTAGAAGATGGAAGGACCGATTTGTCCTCGAATTAAACAAATTAAAATGGCAAACGTTTTTCCGGTGAATTTTTATCGACGATTTGACCGGGAAGACCAAATCTGCTAAAAAAAAAGCATAGTTAAAGGTCTAAATTGTTAGTTTTAAAAGTCACGTATCAAAATTAACACGCCTATTATAGTCATAGGACCATAAGTGTAATTTGCTCGGAAAAAATATATTGTAATTTCATAAGAAAAGAATAAAGTAGGAATAAGCTACCAAACAGGCCATTAGTGATAAGTTCTCTAGTGAGACTGGGAGAATGCAGGCGTACAATGGCAAAGTGGTTGGTTGTCTGAAAAGTTGAAAAATTAGGGTTAATATTATTAAAATATATTAATATTAACCCATAATATTGGTACATATTTGGTGGTGTGTTGAAGTAGCCAGTGCAAGATCATAGTTCTTCATGGGATGCCTGCTACAAAGTACAAACTGCATATTGTACACACACACACACACAAAAAAAAAAAAACATGGCTTCCCATTTGCTTCCTTCTAAAAGTCCAATATCATTTCTGGATTTGTACCCATCAAGACTCAGGAGAATCGGATTTGACTTGAACTTCAGGATCCCACATCTAAGGCGTTAGCACTAGTCCAATTGGACTATGATCACTGCCGGCAACATCTGGGACAATGTATGAGTCATAAACCTTGTCCGCAATGGATTCTGATACGAGGAAATAGTCGAGCCTCCATCCTGATATAAAGGAACAAATTGTAATTGTTCAAACATCATACTAAAAAGATGAAAGGCAACAGATCATAATGAGATTAACAGAATTATCAATCATTGGCTTCAAATTTATCATTTATATAATCTATTTTGCAATTTGCTAGTCATTAATCAAACATACTCTTCTTTTTCACTTCCTTCTTACGAGTAGGTCATATAAAAATAATAAAATGCACTGTTATATGAGTCCATTGATTATGTTTGAAACTGTCAATTCTTTTTTCATCACGTCAACATTTCCTGAAGTGATTAAGTAAACTTTTTGAATGACTTATAAATTGCAAACCATTGTTATGCACTTTATTTTTTGGACAGTTTCTGGTAAGACACTCCAAGACAGAAAGGGGTGGAGTTTTTTTTTTTTTTTTTTTTTTTTTTTTTTTTTTTTAATAATGAAATTAATATATAAAACAAAGTAAATGAGACTCTAGAAGGGAAGGTGTCAAACCTTTATTAGTTTTACGTCCTCCATGCCTGTATCCCCAATAAGTATATCCAACAACACCTGGATGCTGTTTCCGAAACGTGTCTACAAGTCCCCTCTTTAAGAAGTTTGTTTCAAATGATTGTCTTTCCTCATCTGTAAAACCTGCACTTCTTTTGTTTCCCTTAAGAAACAAAAGTCAGAAATGATTGTACAGAGAACATTTAAAAAAAAGTGTCCCAGAAACACAAAGACAGAATTACAGAAAACTGCAGATGGACCAAGTTAAAAACTGTCAAAAAGAACTATCAAGTTAGAAGCTTATATTGATTTTTGTTTGGGAGCACCTAATGGGCTAGGGATTGAACCTATGACTTCCTACCTAAAGTGACAAGCATATGTTGCTTGACCACAAATAATAATGAGTTTGCTAACTTCTAGACTATAATCTTTATATTTTCAGTTATTAGTCAAAAGGTCACTAAATAACATAAACCTACTTCTCAGGGAAACGAATATTTCCACCCAGAGAATGTTCTTGGTATAGTTGGACACTACAAGTTGCACTCTGAAGAGAATCAAATTATCAAAGGAATTACTTACTGCAGGATTGTAGATGTCTATCTCTTCATGAGCACAGTTCAGATCACCCGTTAGAATAACAGGTTTTGACTTTTCTAATTCCTGTAAAGCATCAGAAGCAAACCAGCGTATCATAAAGCCTCAGAAAAAGAATGCTTGAGCATAAACGCATAATTTTCCATTACTGAAATAGTAAAAGAAAATTGGCACAGAATGGAACAAGAGATCAATACTATCATCCACACTTCTGAACAAGAAAGCTAAGAGAAGGGCAAAGGGAAGAGAAACAAGTAAAAGCAACATATAGGTATAGAAAAATCTAGCTAGTACCAAATTACAATTTATACTGAAAATTCGGTTCCAATAGAAACAGCCCATAATGTTACAAAATAAATATAGTTAAAAATATTGCATAAATAAATGGACCCTTACTTTAACATAATCGCTGAGAGAAGGGTCCCACTGTGTGGTTCTATATGACTGCCAAAGAACAACATGTATTTCAAATTTTCTAGTGACAAGATAGACAAAGAAAAAAAAGAAGAAGAAGAAGAAGAGAGAGTGATATATCAATGCAATAGATTACCAATCGTCTTAGGCCATCACCAGAATTAGGAACATATGCACTCAATAGATAAAAATCATCAAATTCCACCGTAACAAGCCTCCCTTCTGAATCATGATCTATGATGCCTAGACCATATTTTACAGAAAGTGGTTTAATCTGTCAACAAAAAGCACAAAGAAAAGTGCAATAAGTTCTTGGCCAGCAAAGTTATAGAACCAACAGGCATAATTTACTTATAAATGGGTCCATCACCAAAAAAGTATCATGCCTGCATTATAACGAGTAACAAGGAGGATGTTTGAGTCTTTGAGAAATTTCATTCAAGCTCAAAAGCAAATATTTCAATAACAGTCTTTCCTACTTTGTTGCACTTGCTTATGTGAGACATGAAAGAAGATTAGATGATGACATCTCTCCTTTGGGATAGTTGCAAATTGCACACTTGTTTCTACTCAGTCATCAATTAAGAGCATATCATTAAAAATACATATGTATATCAGGATGTCGCTTGGGAGCCCTTGTCTCTTTGCTTAGTATCTTGGAATATATTTCAAGTGAGTCTGCTAATGTTGGATCTGAAGGTCCTTATACTTCTGTACCAACTACCAGCATATAGCCACCCTTTATATACTGAATGTCCAGAAATCTGACATTAACTTCAACCATTTGAAAGTAAACACTTATTTTTTGGTATGGTATTGGACACCAAAATACAAGTAGGAGCATCTGAAATGACATGAGGAAGAAGTCCTTCAAACAAGCCTCTGCTTAGAGCATAGAAAATCAAGGAAAGCTTTGCTTTAGCTTATTGAGATTTAAGAACTATATTATTTCAGTGCCATATAAAGCTCTGCAGATATAAGTTTCCTATAGAGAAGGGTCATATAATTCTACTGGAGAATGGTGCTTTACACAAAATTGTAACACACTACAATATTTGATCAAAACATAATAATAAGATAAATAAAGGAGAGTATGACCAATTAGCGGGCATAAAACGAAAATTTTAACTTTGGCCTAGAAACTTGGATCAGTATCCATTCAAGAATATCATATAATTTCCGGAAATACTATTTCACCTATTAACTATATCCAATAGATAATGATGGGTGCAATTCGGATACTGCCAAAATTCTATTTGCAAGTATCCATAAAAAGTAAGAATAGATTGGTTGAGATTTGAGAATATGGTAAATCCAGTTCCACTTCACCCAAAAAATCTCAACATGAATGGAAATGGAATTTAGATTCAAGACAGTCAAATCAAAGGGTCTGATCTGATCTACCCAACATTATACTTGTGTATTAGTAAATAGTAAAGACCTTTTCCCCTTATTGCGGTAGACACCTATGCCTTCTAGGCTTCTAGTCCTTCTGTCGACCAAAGATACACCTCAACTTGCAAGTCTTTGTTCACCTCCAACATTCAACCCCAAGTGCGAACACTTTCTAACTACTGAGTTTTTTTCTAGCAACTATTTTTCAGAATGCATTGAAGTTGGTTTTAGTTGTTTCAATCTGAACCAATGCAATCATATCAACAAATCAGACCAGTTTTGGACTTTCGGGTCATATTTTTTTAGAACAATTTTTTTTTGATGCATCAGTTTCAACAAAACCAAGCACTTAGACATTCCAATTTAGGTCCAAGTTTGAGAAGTGAATGGAAATTATTATAGTTAATGCAACACGATGCTCAAACCTAGAAGAGTACATGCCTCCTAATTAAGGTGCTCCTTATCACCCTATAGGGAGAGAGAGAGAGAGAGAGAGAGAGAGAGAGAGAGAGAGAGAGAGAGAGAGAGAGAGAGAGAGAGAGAGAGAGAGGGAGGTGGGATGGGAGGGAGGGGGGGGGGGGGGGTAAATTTTGCCATAATATATTAAAGAATGAGGAAAATCTATATCCACTCTTTGATGATGGTAATTATGTGATTACATGAGTGAACTTGTAGGTAGGCTTGTATGTACATCTAAAAATAGGACTGAAGTAGATAGAATGTACCATAGACAACTTTTGTGTAGGGAGAATCCTTGAAGTGGGGAAATAAAGTTGGGAATAAGACTTCCAGATATCAAATTTATGGTCAATTCTTAACTAAAGAATTATATAAAAGAATACGGAAGCAATTTAATTACATGCAAAGATGTAAAATCTACGTTCTGAAGAAATTAATGAGTGCAAAAGATTGGAAAAAGCAAAACTTACCCGAGAAATGATAGCAGTACCAGAATATCCAAGCTTAGAGACACTGCATGTCCAAAAGCTATTATCATATCCATCTACAAGACTCTCTTTAATTACCTGAACATCTTTTTCCTGTATTCAAGTATTTAAAGTGAAACTGCTCAGAATTTTGCAATTACTTGGAGAGAGTGAGAGACAAAGAACTTCTACCTAATTTTTTGTAAAATCCACAAGATATGATAGTGCACAACATCCCATACTTTCAAATAAAATAATGGGCAGTTGCTAAAGCCCCAATAGTTATTTGTCAATGTATTAATGTTTCAACATGAAACTCTACTCTTTAACTCCAAAAATAACAACTCAAGGTACATTGGTCCCACCCAATAAAAGCTTCAATGAACACAAACTCAGCCCACAACTCTAATAAAACTCCAACTATCCACCCCCTTGCCCATGAGTACATAGGAATAGCAATAGTACTGAATATATAGGAGATAACCAGGAGAAACCAGAAATGATACAGATACGGCGCTTGAATTTCATATTAAAACACTTTACTTAAATATGTTTCCATTACAAAGACTCTTACTCCCATCCAATTTCAAAATAAGCATCCTACACAAGACTCCAAACTTGGGAAACAAACACTATATTATATCATAGATTCATAGGTGCCCCCTGCCCCCAGGTCACAGCCCAGAAGGGGGTACTAAAGCTTCTGACAGATACTGATTTGTTACAAGGTACTACAAGAACTGAATTTCAAGTTAGCATTAAGAAGATGATAGATTAGGGACAGCAACCTTTGGTCGATAGGAGTATATTGATTATTCACAAAATAATATGTACAATGATAATCAGCTTAGAAAAATATTCTACGCTTCTAGCTCTCAAATTACAATCAAGAAAGAGGATTGGCAATTACTCCGTATAATTTTATGTTTTGAATTAAATAAGTAACAACTAACAAGAGTATCTGTATAACCGCATTGTAGCTTAGAACACATTTATTCTGGCCCAACTGCACCAAAATAGGAGTTCCCATGATAGAGCATCTTTTAGAAAAAAAAATAAAAAAGCATAGAAGTATGGCAATGTTATCTAATACTAGGGTGAAGTAGAACTAGCCTGCAATTTAGTCTCCTGCAAACACAAAACATCAAAGTCTTCTCTTTGTGCAAGTTGCTTTATGCAAAGGCTCTCCAACTTCAGCAAACCTCTCAAGCCATTTACATTCCATGACATTAACTTCAAAGCTTTATGACTACCAGTAAGAGGAGGAGGCCTCATAGTTTTGGGATTGTATGCAATCCACCCATCCTGTGGCTTCTTGTGAGCAAAAATTGTCCAAGGTTCATCATGGTTTACAGAAAGATTAACACTCTCAGAAATGACTTTCCTTTTAGCTTGTACCTTCCTCTTACCTAGATGTTTGAGACATCATATTAATTATCTGAGTCAACCAATAGGTGAATGCACAACAAAGCAAAGTACAATAGATCAACAACAGGGTAAACTAAAAGCACCTCCCACCACATTGGACTCCACCAAGAGTTCTTGATCCTTTATTTGTTGCTCATCTTTAATATCAATAGGATCTTGCTCTACTCTTTTCTTAGTTCTTTTAATTTGAGAAACTTCTGAAGCAACATTTATACTTAGGACATCTTTAGTTGAGACTCTTTTGGAGTTCCTCTTTGAAGTGTTTTCAGCAATATCTGAAAGCTTCTCTTCAGGATATACCTGATCTTCCACTGCCAGGGATCCATTACCTGGATTCCAAGCAGTTAATTAGCAGTCAATCTTATATATATTGTCTTTCTAGCAACATAGAGATGATGACGGGAAATTAAATGCACCCAAGAGCAACTGAATTTATAATTTTTTTTTAAAAGGTGCTGGTTCATGGACTATATTCATGATTGAAGGATACCATTTTTCGTGTCATTCAGGAAACTCTTGAAGGCCAAGACAAGCTCATGCTTGGAACCTCTAGCAGGAATTCCAGCACTCCTACACATTCCAAAGTTAGATGATAGTCTCAAATATGATTGCATACTGCTATAAATGGTTAGGCAGCCCCAAAAAGCCAAAACCTATTTGATTTCCCCCCAATGATGTCAAAGGTAACATTTCTAAAATATGAAACTAAAAAATTAATATAAGTAAATAAATGAATATACAGACATAGGAACTTCCAGTGGAAAGCATAGTATATTCATATAATAGCATTTACCTAAGCTTTAATCTGAGTTGTTGAACAGTCATTTTCTTTACACTTTCAATATCATCTTCAAAACCACTTTCACAACTCTCCTACATTTAAAAGAAGCATTGCGTAAGAACAGAACAAGACTTGGCAAAACCACACAGAAGCTTCAGGCTTGATCAAGAAAAACTTCTAACCTTGGCAGTGGCTTTCCCAGGCCGAGATGATCCAATGCTCGGAACTTCACTCGGTTTCGCAGCAGCGGAGGAACTCGAAAGCCGTCTATTCGAAGCCATTGCTCTCAATTTTACAGAAAACAGCCCCTTAATTTCCCGTTTCTTTGAAACAACTGCAATACTATAGCATCAAGAGCCCCAAAAAAAAAAAACAAAAAAAACTACAATTTACAACATAAAACAAAAATTAAAGGAAAAAATTGGCAAATTTGTGAGCAATTCCTGTAATGTATGCACAAATATAAGGCTAGGGTCATACTTTCTGAGACTGAGAGAATAGTAGCACCCTATCTTCAATACTTGTAGCATTTGCCTATGAGGAAGGAGCAGCAATGTTGTAGATGAACCGCCAAAAGCGAGGGAATGAGAGGCAAACGGGAAATAATATGCTTGTAAAATAAGTTTATTTCTAAATTTCTAAATGCATAATTATAATTACAAAAAAATATAGGTATTTTTTTTTTTCATTGATTTTATGATTGTTCATTTAAAATGATGAATAATTAGAAGTGCATTTTGAAATTCTTATGGTGATAGAGAGGAGAATCATGTCTTCCGTGCACTCAAAATATTTTTAAATGCACAATTATAATTACATAAAATTACAAATGATGGGGTGTAAACCCCGTGAGTCGGCTCGACCCGAAGATCGGCACAAGTGGAAGGTCGGCCTAAACTAGTCGTTAACCCATATTAATCTCTTATTTATTATCCTATTTACCTACCTCATCCTAACCCCCAAAATTATTACCCCCTTTATTTATCCAATTTATTATTCCTAATTCCTCTATTAAATCCCCTTGACCACTATAAATTAGCTACCCACATTAGAACCCATAACTCCCACATAAACACATACTTATTAACCTAATAAATCCTTGTTAATGGCCCAACGGCCATAATCTTAAACTTGTTGCTATAAAAGGAGGAAATGAGCAAGAGGTAGGGGGCATCCATTCTTACATACTAAAAGGCCACATATCACTCTTCCACACACACTCTCTCAAGAAGACTCTATCTATTCATCTATACACATGAACAGACTCATCACTCTTCCAAGGGGAGAAGACTCTGTCATCCATCATCTTAACAAGAAGGCCTCATCATACGCACTCTTTCAACAAAGAAGATCAAGAAGAATACTCCCTCTCTATATACAAAGTATAGCTCTTTCCCTACACCATATTTCCATACGACATGTACAAAATAGCTCTACAATATGTACAAAGACACCTACAAAATACATAGTGAATCTTGGCTTGGCACTGCCCAAAAAGGCCCGTGATTTTCACCGTTCGGTTTCCACGTACAAAAGCATTATGTTTGTTCTACTTATTTTTCTATATGCGCATGTGAACGGTGAACCCACCAACCACGGTTGTGTTGGACCTCCGAGGGCCCAAAAACCCAAAAACCAACAACAAATGTTTGAATATTTTGTCATTTTCATTGATTTTCAACATTTGATCATTTTTAGATGTATGGACTAAATTTGTATGCACGTCTACACTTGGAAAGTCATTCCTACAAAAACCAAGCCCTATATATAATACCAAGGATCTTGTGATCTAATGGTACCAAGTTGAACTCCACATGAGAGGTTTTGGGTTTGAGCCTCAGTGGATGTGCTATTGACTCTTTCTAGGTAAAATAGAGGGATTTTTTTTTTATAAAAAAAAAATGACTTCCCTTTTTTTTTTTGAAAAGCCATTTTCCGTTTGCAGCAGTGGAGCAACCAATCAACCGCCACCACTACAGTTAATTTTAAATATTTAAAAGAGTTAATAACCAAAATGGTCCCTCGACTATACCGTAATTACCAATTTAGTCCTCGATTACCATTCTTACCCAATTAAGTCCTCAACTATGTAATCTTTACCCAATTTAATCATCCGTTAATTTATCTGTTAGTTGATGGTTAAAATTAAGGATAAAAATGTAATTTCAGCTTTCTCTCTCATCTAATTGTGCGAAAGAGCTGAAGGTGTTAAGCTCTTGAACTCTCCTTCAACACCGTTCTTCCTCCTCCTTTTAGGTTTAGGCGAGAAGTCAGCGGCGGCGAGGGGCCAGACTTCATGGTATCCCCGGAGGTCGTTTCTGGTTGGTGAGCCGCCGGATTTTGGCAAGTGCTGCCCGCGATCGCGTTTCGGTGGGTAGGCATAGGGTGGTTGTGCTCTGGTGTGTAAGATTACCAGATCTGACTCTGGGATGCATTTGGGGTGAGGATGAAGGGAGCAAAGAAGGGAGCCAGTGGTGGTGGGAATTAGCTCGCCTTCGTCTCTCTTGTTCCGGTGATGTGCTTCACCGAATTTTTCCGTTGGTTTGCTCAGTTTTTTTTTTTTCTTTTTTTTTTTTATGTCCATTATCGCAGCGGGAGAAATCTGTGGTTTGAGGATTTGGTGGTAGGGAGACAGATCTGGTAATCCTCCGATAACAGAGAGGTGTGAGATTGGCATGCTCTGCGGGGAGAGAGGCTGCGGCGGCGGTGTTCATTGCAGAGACGGCGGAAAAAAAGGCTTGTACAGATCATGCAAGTCGTCGTTAAAGCGGCGTCTGCTTTCATTTCTCGACGCCCCAAATTCAAGCAGAGCAAGTCTTGGTCTTGCCTTAGCTGGAAGCTGTTGCGCAAAGGAGCAGCGGCGGTGGCTGCGGACGAAGAGGCACCGGCGGCTGAGCAGCCTCTAACCACCTTCCGCTCTTTCGCACAGTTGGATGAGAGATGGAGAAAGCTTATGAAATTACATTTTTGTCCCTAATTTTAACCATCAACTAACAGATAAGTTAACATATGACTAAATTAGGTAAAGATTACCAGGACTATGTGGTCTAATGGTACCCGGGTTGGACTTTCATTTGGAAGATTATGAGTTCAAGCCTCAGTGGAGGTGTAGAGCCAGTAACTTTCAAAAAAAAATTAGGTAAGAATAGTAGTCGAAGACTAAATTGGTAATTACAGCATAGTTAAGGGACCATTTGAAGGGAAATGGAATTCAAAATTCCATGGAAAACAAATTACCAGGAAAATAGATTCCATTGTTTGGTTGGTGAAAAATAAATTACTGGAATCATAAATTCCATTATTTGGTTGAATTTGAAATCGTAAGGAATTCTGAATATAAAAACTAATATGCCCTTAACAATAATATATATATATATATATATATATATATATATATATATATGTGTGTGTGTGTGTGTGTGTGTGTGTGTGTGTGTGTGTGTGTGTGTGTGTGTGTGTGTGTGTGTGTGTGTGTGTGTGTGTGTGTGTGTTCCAATGAAAAATATTTTCCATCTAACCAAAGTGTGTGTGTGTGTGTGTATGTGTGTGTTCCAATGAAAAATATTTTCCATCTAACCAAACAACATAAGACAACATTTTTCTACACTCCTAAGAAAATCTTTTCATGAAAAATATTTTCCATCCAACCAAATACCCCCTTAATATATTATATAGGGATGACAATGAGTATGGGTCTCGGGGGGGCACCAGCCCACCTTATATTTTCTTTACCAATCCCATCCCAACCCGCATCGGATGGACTTTTTCGAAATTCACCCCTGCTCCAATGGGTGCAGGTGCTCACTGCGGATACCTATCACTTATTATCTTGTTACAAAAATTTAAAATAATATTTCAATTAATATTTAAATTACTTACACATAATAAAATTAAAAAATCACTAATTATATTAAAACATAAAATAATAGAAATATTCAAATATAATAACAAAATTTTTAATTTTTTAAAAATAAATTTATTAATTTATAACTAAAAATAGTAAAAAGTTAGTAAAAGTTTTCGTAACTTTTATAATTAGTACTTATTTTAATATATTTATATGCATGATGGGTCAAGTGAGGTTTTTTAACTATATTAGCATTTTTACATTTAGTTTAATTTGATTATTTTTATCCTTCAACTTTTTTGAATAATTAAAATCAGTCAAAAATATCTAAAATGTTTCATATGAAGAGAGAGCTTCTAAAAGTGATGGTATTTAAACATTTTGGACTGAATTTTGTCAATTTAAATATTTTGATGAAAAAAAAAATTCAACACCGGCTAACTAGGATGGTAAATGAAGTCAAATCTTTTTAATATAATAGAATAGATTAGAAGTAAAAGAAAGCATTAATCCGTTGTAGTCTAGTTGGTTAGGATACTCGGCTCTCACCCGAGAGACCCGGGTTCGATTCCCGGCAACGGAAATTTTAATCTTTTGCTATGTCTAATACCTGACAGTCTGACACGATCCAGGGAGACATTTTTATTCTGCTATTTTTGTTATAGGCAATTGTAATCTATCAGGGATTCAGGGATTAATTAAACACTTAAGTAATAATACTAATAACCGTATATACACAGAAACACAGTTACACATATTATTATTTGTCTTATATTAAATATTATATTTATTCCTACCTAAATTACGTATTAAATTCTAGTAGCTTAATTGAGTATATTAAATTTATCAATTTCAATAAGTTATGACAGCGATAAAGAAGGGATTACAAATTAAAATGTATTATGCATAATAAGTTTCTCTTGGACAAAGTATAATATTACTTATGAGTTTGGTCTTCCTTGCAAATCAAGACAACAATTATCCAAACTAATTTTCATCTTCCCTTCTCAACCAATTTAAGATCACATCTCCAAGATCATAATCTACATTATCCTTATTTCCCTCAGATCTACTCACACATGATCAAAGTAGAAATAGCAATAGGTTCATGATAACCAAAAGCACAATCTATAAAAATCACAAGTATTAGATAAGATCAAGATAATCAAAGCAATAAGTAAGTTAAAAGTGCAAAGGAATGAAATAGGAATGTATCTAAATTAATATGAAATTGGAAGACTGAATCTTCAATCCTTGCTAAATGTAGTAATTGAACTTGAATCTAAGTAATGGAATTTGGAATTGAAAAGAAATTATACTATATATAGACCATAATCAAAATTGCAACATGAACCATTTATACATATTTAATTTTAGTATATTGAATGTTTTTTTTTTTTTAGATCAAGCTGGAAGGGGGACCTTGGAGGAGAGCCAAAACTAAATGTTCTCCCTAGCTCTATGGCAACACATGACACACACAAGATCACTAGTGTAGACTTCCTCACTCTCAGGTGGGCAAGACATTAACACCTCCCATGGATTCTGTTTGTTAAAAAGCACCCATCATAGCAAGGGCATCCGCTATAAGTTCATTTTTAGGTAGTATACTAAAAATGAACATTCAAAAAATAAGTTGTAATACACTAATAATAAACATGTATCAGTGATCAACCTTATAATGTGTATCATGATCCACTAGATCCGTCAAAACGAGTTTTCTCCACCGTGTCTATCTGTCCCAACCCGCCATAGGTAGGGGGCAAGTACGGTTTCTTCAAACCTAGCACCAAACTAATTCACTTTTGTGGCAGTAATGTTTTTAGACCTCTCATATTCACTTTTAGAGTGGAGTGAATCACTAAATGATTCACCCTTTTGAGCTATAATCATCTCTTATATATTCTTGTGATTCAACCTCTAATTCCTTATTATTATCACTACTTCCCAACTGTTGTGATTCATTACCCAACTCAAAAGTCTTCTTAAAACCTTCTATCATGACCTTTCCCTCTCTCATATATCTTATACAACTCTTCATAAATGTAGTAGTCTACACTAACATCATAGTTCGAATTTTCCTTATCCAAATGCTCAACAATTATCTCTACTTCTTTGTTTTTAATTAGGTATTTCGAAGTTAAGGTCAATCACATCATTATCTCTATTTAGTCTCATTTTAAGTGAAGTGCAATCCCCATATTTATACTTAAATTGATTTCTTATCATCATATCTCAATGACTTAATCATTTATCTTAAACGTAACATAGAACCATGATCACTAGCCCAATAATCAAAATATTTCACCTTTCCGGCCTCCCAAATAGTCCAGATAAGGATGTACAACCGGAACACCTCCATAATACATCTTTATAGTGTACACATACTCATCTTCCTCAATATCTAAGGAATAATAGAAAAATACTATTTAGAAGTTAAATAAATAAAAAGTATATAATAAAAAAATAATTTATAAATAAAGACAATTTAAAATATATATATATATAATTGGATAGTGGACACATAAACAGACTAGCTTAAACAAATGATATAGCAAAGTAGCATACAAATACAAATTGCACTATCAAAAACATAGATTTGCAGCCCTTAAAACATTAGCATTAAAAAAAATAAAGTTCAAACCAAACTACCTTAATTAATATATGACAAGGCTGGCTAGGCTGGTGGGTAAAGCTTGCTTTGATAGCTATAGTCAAGATTGAGCAGCTTGTGATGCTCTACATTAATTATCTTTTAAGAAAAGAAATAAAACATTTGAATGTTAATCCTACTAGAAATATCTAACGAATTGAAGAGACAAATGCTATTAAAATTATATATATAGATTAAATAAATAATGGGGAAGTCTATTGATAAGTGAAGATTCTTAATTATGATATTTATGTGCGATTGGAAACCTTGTATTATATTAAAATAAAATTTACAATAAAGATTAATATAATAATATTTATAATAAAAAGATGTAAATAAAAAATTATTATAATAAAAATAAATTAAATAAATAAATTGATAAATATAATAATTATAAACTAAAGTAATTGAAGAAAAACATTTCTAATTTTTTTTCGGATGTGGGGTTGACCAAGCCGGACCAAGATTTATATTGTTTGGTTTGTCACAGTTCGGCTCATATTTAATTATGAATTAATAAATATAATTAATCTAAACTAAACAAATTGAAGAACAAAAATTAGTTTTTTTTTTTTTTTTTTGTATTGTGTGTCGGACCAAGATTTTTATTATTTGGTTTGGCTCAATCCAATCCATATTTTAATCAGTTATTAATAAATGTAATAAATCTAAACTGGTCACAGAGATGAAACTTTGGAATAATGACCAGGGATCGAGTCTCACCAGCGGTAGTGTGGGAGCAACCTCTCAAAGTGAGGGGGGTTCCTTGTGCGCAGTGAGCACCGGTCTAGCCTCTGTGATTAATGTTCAGTTGAGTCACCATGATTTACAACTTCCCACCGCTCTGTCGGGCCGGGGTGTGGGGGGCCCTTAGGGTTGGGGTTCAGCCTTTTGGAATAATAAATCTAAACTAAAAAAAAAAAGAGTTATATTGTAATGTTTTGATTTATGGGTAGGGTCGAGTCAACATTTTAATTTTTTGGCAACATAATCAGACTCATATTTTAACTAGACTAAGACAAATAATAATCAGACAAATAACGAGTCAACCTATCCATTTGCCACCACTCAAATAGAAAAAGAAAGAGAGAACTGAACTTGAGAAAAAAATTCAAAAAATATCTTCAAAGTAAAAAGGTTAGAAGACATTTTTAGTCAAAATAAGTCATTTTTTTCATCCGATCGAAATGAGTACTTTTCGTTGACTTTATTTTTCATTGATAGCCAAACATTAAAAATCTTTAAAAATAAAAAATGTAAAAGTCCATTTTTTGGGTTTTCAAAGGAGCCCTAAAATTAGCCAAAAAATCCAAAATATTTAATGTGAAGAGTGGTGAATCTTGATAAAAGTGATGGAATTTAAATATTTTGGATTGACTTTGGGGGTATTTGAAAATTTAGAGTTACCAATAGGGATGAAAACATGAAAACAATGATGATAATTGTTTCAATATCAGCAGATTCGGATAGTTGATATATCTGTATTTACCCAATCAATAATATTACAGAAGACTATGTAACATCAATCCGTTGTAGTCTAGTTGGTTAGGATACTCGGCTCTCACCCGAGAGACCCGGGTTCGACTCCCAGCAACGGAATTTCAAATTTTTTTAGCTATTTCTTAACCTTCCGTGACGCGATTCAAGCAGACGGATAAGTGCTGTGTTCTCCCTTCAAAAGAAGGATATGGAGTTATTGACTTTATAGCTTATGAGATTTTTATTTTTCGGATTGGGCTATCGAAGTATGTATAGAGTGTGGGAAATCTTTTGTTGTTCTGGTTGCAAATTATCAGGTAGTGTGATAACGACATTCGGTTACGTACCATTTCAAATTGGTCGTCATAAATTTGAATTTCGATGGTAGGGGCTTAGATTTTTTGGGTTGAAAATGTTTGAGAAAATATAAAAATGATACTATCTTGAATATCAGCGGAGTTATCTCACATCTTATGTTTTAAGGGATAATATTCTTAAGTTCTAACTAAAATTGTGTCCATATGGTATAAGGCAAGAAAGGATACACGCTTATATCAACTAAATTCAAGACTCTAGGATGTGTCTTTGAATATGACCAATGCAGCATCGTATTGTTTCAAAATTGAAACTGTGATATGTAAGCAAACTGTTAGAATTAATCAAAATATTCATCAACTTTCCATACAAGCCACCTTGTACTCCAGCAATAGTACATATCAAAAACTATACTAAGTATTCTAAGTTCCATTGATTTTTGAAAAATATATATTAAGACTTAGTTTCCGTTGTAAAAATATATTAAGACATAGCATGATCCTCCTCTGTAAAAAGCGAGGGCTAATCTCAGTCATCTATTAGGGTTCAACAACGGTTGAGAGTTTTAGTTAAAGAAAACGTGCGTTCAATTTTATAATTAAAGAAAACTTTTAAGAATGAGGTTCGTTTTATAATTATTGTAAACTTTTAAATTTAGTAATGAGAAGATCCTAACCTTTGATTTCTCAAGAGGGAGGTTGTGGATGTGTCCACACACACACACACACACACACTATATATATATATATATATATATATATATATATATATATATATATACACACACACACATACACACCGTTAAATACAATGACATTTCAAACACAACTTTTACAATTCAATAATCTATTCAATTTTATATCTAGCATTAAAAAAATACATTGTGTGGACTAAGATCTGGGGCGCCTAGAATGGAAGATCATTCCACTTTTTTGTATAGCAACAATCTAATGATAAACTAAAGACAAAAAAAAAAAAAAAAAAAAAAAATCCTATCGAGTTAAATTGTGAGAAAATTAAATCAGAAAACGCAAATAATAATAACCTTTTTTCCAAGGATGACATAGGTATCACTCAAGACATGTTCAACAACAGAGCTGTCTGCGAACACGATAAAAGCAAAACCTCTGCCCAAACCAGTGATTCTGTCTCTAATGGTCTCAGAGCTTTTGATCTCTCCATATTTACTAAAGTAATCCCTTAGGGTTTGTTCGTTAGTGTCGTGAGACAGTCCTCCTACAAAAATCTTAATTTGCTGCTCCATCAAAGAAAACCTTCGAGAAAAATCGACGACAAGAATTAATGTAAGTTTTCTTTTTCTATCCAAACTCCACAGAAATCTATTAAAACTGACCCGTATTTAGGAAGGTTGTTAACTCTTTTTTCATAATCTAAATTTTTCGATTTTGTTAGACTATATCTTAAACTTCATGAACTCGCCCTTTCCAAGCCTATGAAGAGATAAATTGAGTCAACCTAGCTTCGAAACTTACCACCAACCTATATACTTATATACATATATAAAACAATCTCATCTTACAACATTTAATCTAAAGCTTATCAACATTTTAACCTTTTAGCCAACTCAAGGTCTCTCCTACATCCATTGCTTCAACTTCTTTTGGTTGAAACAAACCATTCCAAGGAACTCCCTTGGCAACAATAAGCGATCCTTCTTGATTCCTGATGACAAAACCAAACCCCATTCTATAGTTTTCCCGATCAAGAGTTGCATCAACATTGATTTTAAGAAAGCACTTTGGAAGTTTAGTCCACTTTATATGCTAAGATTCATGGCATTTATCCTTTGGTTTCCATATGGTTTGGCGTTCCTCCAATTGTAAAGAAAGGAGACGGCCCTATTAACAATATTACCTTGAGAGACAGAAATGTTATTCCAAAGTTTTGTTGTTTCTGGTATCCCAAATACTCCAGCAAATCATAACCAGGAAACATTGATTATCAACTTCCCTAATTTTTAAGTTTAAGGAGACCCAATCAGTTAAGACATTGGCTTGAACAGAAGAAATTATTGTGTGGACCATAATAAAAAATACATTTTTTTAATATACTAAATGTACATTATTTTTATACTGAACGTTCATTATATAATATAATGTACACTCGTTACACAAATAATGCACATCTCCTGAATATAATGTACATTATTTTTGTACTGAATGTACATTATTGTACAGTATACAAAATATAGTCCACACAATAATGATTGATTGAACTCCAACAAATTCTCGCGACAGCACATTCAATGGGAAATTATTCGGTGGACTCAAGTCCACCTTGCAAGGTGAACCCAAGTCCAAAATACACAATTTATATGCAAAATGTTCACAATTTTGTAAAAGATAAATTGTGAACATTAAGCACGTAAATTGGGTATATAATTTGTGAATATTAAGTATGTAAACTGTATATTTTGAACTCGAATTCTTCACCTTGCAAGGTGGACCTGGGTCCATGGTATAACTATTGACATTCAACACACAAACAAGTGTGTAAACTTGGATTCAACAGCACAATCGAATGTTTAAACAAAAAAGCGTACCAACTCGATCATAAATAATAAGATTATGAAAACAATAAATATCCAAAATATCAATAACAACCCTTTAAATAAGTAGAGTCAAAATCTGATGATTGGTAATTTGGTAGGCTAACATTGACAGCCTAGTAACAACAACACCCTATACTGCACCATCAGTGTAATATCCATTGCGTCATTCCGTGAAAGCTCCAGCTCGAGATCAGACGGTGCAGAATGTATATAACCTACGAGATGGAGTACAGCAAAATATTTCTATTTATACTGCGCCTTAGAACTTGCTGTGCTTTTTCTTTCGGTAATTTCAAGAGCAATCAGAAAATGTAATCCTCCAAACAAAAGTCTGTACTGCAATAAGCCATACCTGAGAGATTACAGAAAATTTTATGCGGTAGGAAGAGAAGTTACTTTACCCACAGCAACAGTTTTCCCTGCAGAATATGACAACCGTCATTATAAACAGAACATAGAAAATGTCATATGCAATAGAAAACTAAGGATAAGTTCCAAACCCTCTGTGCGGAGAGTGAATCTTCCAAGCTGGGCAAAATCAGAAAATTTCTCAATGCATATCATACTGTTTACCTAGAAAGGTAAAAGCAACAAATTAATATAAAAACAAATTCACACCTATAAGGCTTGCAGTAGTGATAAACATTTGCAATAGGAAAAAAAGAAAGCAAAAAATTTGGGGATGTCCACTAGCAAGTGCCCAAGAACTAGGAAAAAATTAACACAAACATATAGGATAAATTTGATCTATTTCATATTCAAAACATTACTGTGCAGGCAAATAAATCATTTGTCAAGCATCGTTCTATATATGGGGAGAGTAGAGAGCAGAATTCAGAAAATTTAAAATGCCAACCTGAACGCGGCACACAACAAAAGCACCATTCTTTACAAAGAGTGGTTTCTTTTTCATTGGTTTCCTTGTTTTCGGATCAATTTGCTGCATCAACTCTACAATTTCACATTCCTCAACAACTGAGTGAATGTGCAACACAGCCTTGTATCCAGCAGTAAAAATCGCCTGAAATATATGACAGTTGTTAGACTTCAACCAGATGTAAAGAGCGAATATATCTACCAAATAACCCAGTCACAAAAGGAGACAACAAGAGAGCAATATAGCTTTAAAAGCTTTAATACATACATTATCCAGCAACTCCAGGATTGACAACTGAGCAACAAACTCAGTAACAGCAGGTACTGGCTTTACTGCATTAAGAGAAAAGTATTAGATATATCCAAGACAATTGAAATTTGAAAGACATTCACACAGAATTATAGTTATAGGAATAATGATAATTCAAACACAATCCAAATATTTAAAAGATTTCATTAATTCAGCATAATAACAGTTTTGGGTTCATTAAAAAGAGACAAAATTTTCATTTTATTGAACTAAGGTAAGTTACCTAACAAAAATACTATATACTACTATCTTTGCAACAAAGGCTCTATTAACCCATAGACCATTATTACATCTTCTATGGAAATAAAAGCAATACATCTTGCAACAAACTGTAAAGAATAACTCTCTGTTCAATTTGAATATATCCCAATAGACAGCAGGTGTATTATTTCCATCTTTTCAATAGACATCTTTAAGCAACTGCAACTAGGGGAGTAAGCGTAAAAGACAATCATGATCACTGAATAAAAGTTGAAAAAAGAAAAATAATTCAAAATGGCCATCAGTTACAATTTCAAGCTTTTGCAAACCATCCTCAAGCATTTACCATGAACTTCAAATAGAGCAATTTCTATCACGGCGAGCAACGTAGCCATCTAGATTCTTGCTCAACCCCAATAAATAAAAAATAAAATAAAAAAATAGAACACAACCATGTGTAGGGGTTGAGTTGAAAATCAACTATCCTCAAAGTGTCTTTAAAGCCAGTGTTTTTACCCCCAATCCCCCAAAAATAAGCAATTTACAACTTCAAGAATGCTCCCAAGAGCACACATATAGCTTGTAAATAAAAATGTGAATCCAGGTTAAGTATAGTGAAATTGTGAAAAATAATTGAATGGTATTTACCAACACTGCACAAAACAAAACCCGATGAGATATCCTCTTCCTCAACCCCGGATAATCTGACTCGTAAGTTTTCCCCAGGTCCTGCTCGTCGAACTCTATCTTCATCTATGAATAAGGCAAGGACTTTAACAGCAGCCTGAACATGCAAAGGAAATAAGAATATTGAAATAGTACTCTTACACAAATCATAACAAATTGCAACACCAAATAATTCTTAATAAAATCAAAGGTTTGAGATAAACACCTTATTAGGCATCACCAACAAATTGTCTCCCTCACGTAAGCTACCAGATTCTACTTTACCCATAACAACTGTCCCCATATCTTTAAATTTGTCAATAATTGGCATCCTACAAAACATAGAGCCAAACTTAGTACGAAACATGATTATCAATTAAGAAAAAGGTGCCAGCTAAAACAAACACACAATACACAAAAACAATTATATCCAAATTAGATAATAACAGCATTACAGCATGCTGACAAGCATTCAAAATGGAAATATGAGAGTTGGAAAATAGATGCATGATGCATAAACATGTTTATGTACAGAGAATTCTAACTAGAAATATGAGTGTTGGAAACATAGAAGCATGGGAAGCTGGTAAGTAACCAAATGGGGCCCAGCAGTACCTGAAAGGACCTTTAGGATCACGAGAGGGGACTTCAGCCGCATCAAGAGCTTCAAATAGACAGGGGCCATTCCACCATGGACAAACACTTTTACCCATTCTTGTTTTCAAATTTGAACCCAAAAGCCCAGATATGGGAAGAAATTGAACATCTGTAAATTATAATTTTAAAAAACAAAAAAACAAACTTTAAAGTAGCAATTGCAGTGATAGATTTTGCAATTCTCATTGATGATTCTTTGCAAATCCATTGTTATGGAAATTAAAGGCTTGCTATTTACACACCAAAAGAATAGAAATGGTTTGAAAATAATGATAATCACCATTGCTAAATTGTGCTCATAGATTCTAAAATACATAACCTTTTCTTTTCAAAACATTTGAAAGAGCAAAATGGGTGACATTTGTATATTATGGAATCAATGAAAATAAAATAAAATGTCTTTGTTATTTGCTTTTAATCATGAGAACCATATATTTAAGGAGGCAAGCCTTGCAATAATACCAACAAGAATAGGACTGAGCTCAAGAGCCTGACTTCACAGTTCTTGGAAGATTCAAATTTATATGGAATTCTTGAAAAGGGTTCTAAGAAAGTAAGAAATCAAGTAAAAGTCTGTATTCTCAAAAGTGTAATAAGCCCAAAATGAAAAACTACACATACATATTTCAAACATTGTCTGGCACAATGTGGAACACTCCTTAAAAACATATTTTAAAAAAATGATACATTTATTTCACAGAAATTCATTCCAGGTGGTTAGAGATCTTTAAGTAATTTCAAGCAAATTTTTCATTAGAGTAAATTCCAGTTTTGTCCCCAAGTATAACGGGAACTCTACTTAAGTACACTGTACACAGTTCATAACCAACAATTGAAAATTAGACACCACATTTTTTGCCATTTCCGTCGAATTTGAAGTATAAGAAATTCGATATAAATGGTCCCCACACTATTCAGAATCAAACAAAGACCATCCTTCCATTGGTTTTCTGTTAAGGAACCATTTTTGTCCAATAGTTAATAGCCAATTTTTAACTTCGTTTACCAAAGTGGATATGCAGTTATAGTTGGAGTAGCAAAAAACTAACTATTTTTTTTCATTACAAAGATCATGGAATTTAATACCAAAGATATTATCTTAAAGCAAACTTGCACACAAATACCGTTAGTGCAAACTTTGACTTCAGTTTAGGAAATGTGTTTTTCACAGCTCAATACTCTATTCATTCATAGTTCTTGTTGATCCAATCATCACTCCTCACCAAATCACTGGATAAGGTCATGAAAAATTTAAAATCACATCCAACTAAACAAGAAAAATCCAAAAAGAAACTTGATTACTTGAATGCAAAAGCGTGATATAGAGAAGAACATGAATACTAAATGATTTGGAAGTGAGCAGACATAATCATTACAGAAATGAGAAATAAGGCCTAAAATATCTACTTATCTAGGCATTTCAAAATTAAAAGAGGGATAAAACCGCATTTCCTCTGCAGTTCAAGCATTTGTTTGCTTACCTTTCTTCACATTATATCCAGAAGACTTCAGAAAAGGAATCATTTTTCCCTCAATTTCATCATACCTGAAAAGATATAACTACATAAAGGCAATCTAAAAAAAAAAACAATTTCAAAATAAACACTGAAAGACATTCTACAAAGAAACACCTTTCTTTTGACCAGTTGACAGTAGGTTCGTCCATTTTATTTACAACAATGAGGAGCTTTGTAACTCCAAGAGTCTTTGCAAGTTGAACATGCTCACGTGTTTGTCCACCTCTTTCATATCCAGTTTCAAATTCACCCTTCCTTGCAGATATCACCTGGATTACAAGGCCACACACACACAAAAAGGAAAAACATCTTTCACAAAATGACCACAATCCATTCAGGCTGAATGGGATTTTCATGACTACAATGGAGAAGTCTTACCAGGACACCTATATCAGCTTGAGATGCTCCACTAATCATATTTGGAACATAGCTCTTGTGTCCCTGGAGAACATAGAATTGGAAAAAGAGGGTCCATTTAAAGCAAAGGTTGAAAGGTAAACAAGATAACTAGCAATTTATAACTGGAGCAGAGAAGATTTTCCAAATCTTCAACATTAAGCCATCCCCAACACTCCATAGAAAAGATTAGGTCTTTGTTCTGACCACTTCAAAAAGTGTGCCGCTAAATAAAATGTAAAACATGTAAACTATTGACATCTGGCGTTTACCGGAGCATCCAAAATTGTGAATCTTGTAGTTTCTGTTTCAAAATGTGCTCTTCCAACTTCAACAGTAATCCCCTGTATGTCAAATTACACAAATTTACCAAGAATTTTTTTTTTTTTTTTTTAAAAAAAGGATGATTTAGCAAACTACAGAATTTTAGTGAGTTATAATGAACAGTTGAACATGATGGGGTTTTTTTTTTTTTTAATGGTGGAATTACCAAGTGAATACCTTAACCCTCTCTTCTTCATTTGTGTCCATGATATATGCCATATACCTAATACAGTCAAAAGCAAAATATAAAAAGGAAGAATGGAATAAGCAAGGACTATGAATTTGCAAAAAGAAACTCTCAACACCAAATGGCTTCCAGTTCCAGCAACTAGTCATCAAAATGCAAGTTGACATTTCAACACAATGTGATTGCACGCCTAGTATTCAGTAAAGGCCTAAGTGGGTGCATTACTAACTAGAGAAATTTTTCATTTTTCTGGAGAACAAAAGGCTGGATAAAGGAAAACAGAGAACTTTGAAAATGGGTGCTGGAAACACATTTTCTAAATTGGAAAACAGGAAATAGAGAATTGAAATGGAGAAATGTAATCTAGAGAAAGGAATACTAAATGTGGCCTCAGTGACGCAAATCAGACACAAATAAATGAAATAATATTGGTTTCAAATGTTGAGTATTAAAAGAGACTAAAGCTGCACACTTATTATCTTGAGAATCTAAAACTGTAGAGTCTAGAATAACTGCAATAACTTTGAATCACAATACCATAATGTGGGGATATCTTTTCCATGATATTTAAATCCAAAATTATCCGAAGAAATCTGTAATAAATGAAGGGAACTTTCACCTCTATTCATCAATCCATGCATGATAGCTTTCTATCCATAACTCTTCTCACAATACAAACACTAAATAGCTATCAAGTGAACATAGCAAAAATTTGGGACCTTCTACATTGATGATACAACATTGAGGGGCCTATTAAATCAAGCAAGATTTTCCATGAAAATTTCCCTCCATTAAAGGATTGCTAAAAACCATTAATATAACAATTTAGCTAAGTATAAATGTATAATAAAAAAAGGCAAGCAAGATTTACCAGCTCTCTCTACTTTTATCCTTTGCCTCTTTTTCATACTTCTGGATTGTACGGTCATCTACTTGTCCACTAAGGAACAATATCTGTCCTCCAATAGTTGACTTCCCAGCATCTTTTGGCATCAAAAAATAATAATAATAAAAAATAAAAAAAGGTAAAGAACTAATTATAAGTGATGACAGGAAACCAAATGTTAGCTAGTAGCTTACATGCTACATTTACAAATTTATCTGCATATGTCCACAACAAATTTTGCTGCAAAGATGCTTACATAAAAAAAATGCAAGAAATATCTTGAAAACTACCACTGGAAAGAAAATCGCAAACTTACCAAGCATTAACTATCATGCATATCATAATTCATAAATACTAAAATTGCAGAATTGCTTTAAACAGGAATAGCACTTTCCTCAATTTCCAACTTGATTAATGAAATTAATCATGTACAGGATTAAAATATGCAAACAAATAAATAAACATGTGTGCGCACAAATAAATAAACATTTGTGTGCACATCCATGTGTGTACGTATATATGTATGTATATACAGCTAAAAGAATTCCTTAATCCTTACCAACATGCCCAATGAATACAACATTCAGATGTCGCTTTTTGTTGATTTCTGCCTCATCATCTACATCCTCTAAAGCTGGACTTTTCTTTTCTTTTTCTGAAAAGAACGTAAAAGTTGATGAGCACATCGAATTTCTAGTAAGGAAGACAAATAAAAATTTAATGCTTAATACATGTTGAATGTTGAAAGGATGTTGAAACAATCCACCACTAACTTTTTCACTGAGGTGACAGTAAACCCATGGAGTATGCTACAAAACCAGTGAGAAAATTAGACACAACATTTTGCATGGTAGCTCTAAAAGGAATAAAATAAGATTAGTATTTAGGGGTATCAACTTATGTTGCAGGCAGATTACTGTGCGTAAGATGCCCTTTCTGTGATAAGTGAGAGAATGTAGACTGTTAATGTAGATTTTAAAATCTTATGCTACTCAGAAAAGTGAAGTGATTTTTTTGTGAAGTCTTTGTAGCTTCATCTTGGTGCCTACGTGTAAATAAAACAGCTTATCCCAGAAAACTAAATAATTCATCCATATTTAATAATGCCATAGTTTATTATGGAAATAGCCAGATAGAACAATTGCAATCCCATGCCAAGAGTGCAATTTCCTGCCACTAAACCAGGCAAACACACCGCTCCTTAACAGAAATGAAACACTGATATCAGAATGAACAGTTAATAGAAAGAACAAAACCAATTACAGACCTTCCGAAATGCCTTTAGGCTCAGTATGCATTTGCTCTGAGTTTGCTTGTGGCTCATTCTTAACATCTATAACACAAAGAACATAAACATATTACAACATCCATCATATGGATAGCAAATATAACATAATTAAGCACATTACTTTCTTCTGTCATCTGGGTTCCTCCTCTTGAAGGAGATGGTGATGCCTATGAGCAAATGAAAATGATAGTCTCTTCATTCTTTGCCCATAAAAAGGACTACCACCTAATTCTAATTTGCAAAATTAGAGTAGTTTAGAAAATGTATTTGGAATATCATATTCAAGTTCCTATTAGAAGAAGAGTTTTACGGTATACATTCCATAAGACTAAATCAGGATGGTTGGAGAACTGCTCCTCCTCCATTAACCACAAACAATTCTGATCTGCACCTTACCATACTATCACCTCCCCCACCCCACATTTTTCTCCCACCATACAGAGGCCCAGGTGAGAAAAAGTTAAGCAAATAGTCAACCCATTGACACTTCAAAACTCAAAGAATAAACGCTTAAGTTTTCTATTCAAAAAGACAATGAGCTTTTACTAATTATTATTATTATTATAAAAAAAAAATTAAAAAAAAAAAAAAACAAAAAAACAAAAAAACAAACAAACAAACTTCATACAAATAGTAATTTTTTACCAACTTCTAAATGTTATGTACTTATTTCTCCTAGGAATTTTGCTGTAAATTGTTTGACTTGATATTATCATATTTAGTAATAAGAAATTAAAAGTACCAATCTTCATTTCTCATGTGGTCAATCCATATGTACAGTTCATCAGTTACTTATATTCTTTAAAACATTAACCTAGTTGCATGCTATGCAGCTGCATGCAAAACTATCACTTTGACAATAAGACGATTATGTGTCACTGGTTACTAATTAATTTAATTTGAAATAAAATTCAGGAAAAAAAAAATCATCAAATAGAGGAAAGAGTAATCATTTAGTCCATATAAAGTTACAAGATCGCCTATTCCAATAATCATATATACATATCTAGACAACCAAGAAAAGCATAGCCCAGAAGAATAGCAACCAAAAAGCATATTACGGAATCCTTGACCAAAAAACAATGAGAAATACCTCCTCTGTCAGTTTCATCAGGTTGTACAACTTCATCGGGTTTACCATCATCAGCATTTGCCATAGGAGTATCTTCTACTCACCATCAGCCACGGTGAAAAAGGTACAATGAAATACACACAATAAGCATTACAACCTTTGACAAATCATTTAATTCTAAATAATACTTAGTAGTATGCAAAGGTGAATCCAAAATACCAACATCTCTAAATAATATTAGTCATTTTCATATTTACTACTGGGTAAAAAATAGACTGATGATCTTAGTGATAGAGTTATACCAGACGAATCAAGCTGAAGTGCCTTGATATCCTCTTCAATATCTAAAATTGGAAACAATATATCAAACAGGTTATAAGCATTACTCCAGAAAAATATTCTAGCAGTAATTTTGGATATACCAAAATTAACAAACACCAGAATAAGTATCATCCCACTCAGACAAATATGTAATTCATAAAGTTTTCAGACATCCCTATCCATGCATATGTATATTTAAATACGCAAAAGAATAATTAACCAAAATAAAAAGCAAATTATATCGCAAAATTATTTTAACTTCCGGCCTTTCCAAATCCCAATCCAATATTTGCAGAGTTCGATCGAGAATCAGCAGAAAAACGGTAAACAAAAATGCAAAAGCAAATTGTGAAGCTAAAACAGGAAATTTCAATTAAACATGAAGATCTGATATTGATAGAGCAAGAAAAATCAAATTGGCTCACCCATAGTTAGCTAGCTATTCAAAAGAGTTCTAGGGCTTTTTTGGAGAAAGCAGGCGGTTAAAGGAGGAGCAGAGAAACGTTAGGCGGATCAAGCTATTGTTATTTTTGGAAATTGGAATCAACCCTTAAGTCAAAGCCACGAAAGCAGATGTTGAATTTGCATCAGACAACGTAGTATTCGGGTAGTGGTATTCTTAAACTGAGATTCTCTTCTTCCTCTGGCTTGCTTCCCTGCAAGAACGGACTAGCCCAAGGTTCTGAACTCGATAAGTTAGCCTTGTAGCAGGAAACTTCAGAGTGATTCTATTATGTTTATTTTTTTTTTTTTCCTTTTTTCACCCTGGCCTTTATACATTATTAGTATTTCACATAGAGGTGAGAAAAAACAAAAAACAAAAAAAAAAAACAAAACAAATCAATCAAAAAAATCGATGACTGAAAATCGAATCGTTTAAATATTTGAATTTTTGATACAGGTAAAATAAAAAGAAAAAAATTGATCATTTTAGTTTTTCAGTCGGTTATTGAATTTTCAAGAAAATACAAAAAATTGATTGAAAAATTGAAGATTAATCCAAAAAAACTAACCTCATCCTATTTACATTTTGCAAGTCTATAATCTATCACATTAATTTTAATACTTATTAGATTTCACTTCATTTGTTAATTATATAATGTTTAAATATAGTTCATTTAAACATATGATCCTCAGATGATGCGACGGTGTTCACGGACCATAATCGAGCTTATTTTGGGGCAGTCATCCTTGTCGAGTCAGGAAGTTTATTGATTGCTAATAATGGCTCAGTTAATGTTCTCAATGATCATCATTTAGCCGAAGCTCTAGGGGTTAAGGAAGCCTTACACTTGGCTAAGAGATGATGGTTGGCAACGAGTTACGATTGAGTTAGATTGCCTCAATGTGTGTCACCTTCTGAATGTTTCATCACAAGACTTTTCATACATTGGATGTGTTATAGAGGAGTGACGCATGTCAGCAAGGCACTTTGAGTCAATGTCCTTTCGTTCTATTCGTCGATCATCGAATGTGTTATCCCATTCGGTTATACAACGATGTGATTCTTGAGCAGATTAGCAACTATGTTGGGGAGTTTGTGTCATTGGATGAGAAGAACATTGAAGCAGGATGTAGGTTTTTTTATCGAGTTCGGGTGACTATTAAGGTCTCTAAACCAATCAAGAGGCATATGAAGTGATCCATCGGGATGGTACGTGGGAGTGGCTTAACTTCAAGTTTAAGAGACTGCATGCTTTTTGTTTTTTCTATGGGCTGCTTGGGCATACAGATCGTTTTTGTTTGGAGGCTCGCATAGCAAATGTTCGACCGGAGGATTATCTCTTTGGAGCTTGGCTAAGGCCAAGTTCAGGAAGGGGAGTGAATACTGTACGGGCAAAATGGTTGGTGAAGTCTGATAAGGGAATGGCATCGGCGGCGTTGCTGAGCAGACAGTGCGAGGGGGGAAAGGTGTTGTGGCAAAGAAGGCGGTGAGGGAGGTGGAGAGAGAGAGGGGGGTTCAAATGAGAACCTCTTTTAACATATGAACCTGTGTATCATTATGCATCGTTGATCTTACTTGATCTTGTGGTTTATAATAATTTTGACCTGATAATAAATATACATCATTGCATCATATCACTACATCACTACACAATTGCATCGGATACACCATTGCACCACTCCTCATATCTCGGTCATCCAATCTCACATCTCAACGATGAATAGGAGTTCACAGATTCACACTCAAGCAGTGGTTCTCACTTGAACCGGATTATATATATATATATATATATATATGGGTGCGAAGGAACTCCCAAGTAAAAATTGAGGTTAGATCTGAGTCATTTAGATCAACTGACCAAAATGAAGGTAAATGGAAAAAAAAAAAAAAAAAAAAAAAAAAACACACACACACACACACACTTCCTGGCAACTGGATGCGAATGATCTCCTCCCACCATTGTTGTTTTCTTTCTTATCTTCCTCTCTTGCTGCGAATTCAAACTTGTATCAGCATTACATTTTGGAAAGGAAGATGCTAGATGTATTTTCAATGAGTATAAATTTTGTTTGATTTAAACACTTCACGAACACTTGATTGTTTGCTTGAAACTTACTTGACGATCAAACACTTCGCTACAAACAAATTTGGCTTGACTGCAACGAAGTTGGTATTTGAAATACTTGCACTTGATTACTCAAGCTTGGAATACTCAAGATTACTTGAGATGCTTGAATTTGAGCACTTGAACTTGAAATACTTGAACTTAAAGAACTTTGAAATACTTGAAAAACTTTGCTACGAATAAATTTGGTTTGAACACAACGAACTCAAAACGTGAAATGCTTGGTTTTTGAACACTCGAGCTTGAAATACTTGAGATTTGATACTTGAAATACTTGAATTGAAGTATTTAGCCTCGAAATACTTGAATACTTGAACTTCAAACTCAAACACTTGAATTTGAGACTTGAATGCTTCAAAGCTTGAACACTTCAATAACTTCTTCTCTGTCCTCACCTTTACTTAAAATTGAGGTCTCTATTTATATCATGAAAAACATCATGCACACCACACCTTTGAATTTTGAATTCAAATATTTTCAAACTTTCCAATTCAAAAACATTTGAATTTTCTAACTTAACAATTCAAATTTATCTAAAATATTTAAAAAATATTTAGTTAATGTTATAAACATATTTAGTGGACAATATTTGTAATATATGTAACGGATGTATTTATACCTCATTATGTATATTATTTATACCCTTTGTATATATATGTGTGTGTGTGTGTGTGTGTGTGTACCCTTGGATCATGGCGAATATATGAATAAAATGAATGCCTATATATATTTTCCTTACTTTGTACTTTACTTCTCTCTTTGCAAATTTCATTCGTAATCAATCAGGTTTGAGTTAATGGACTAATTACAACAATTAAGTCATTTTTTAATATAAAATTAATTGTGAATCATGAGCCAAACATATAACATTTTGGCCTAGAAATATATAGGGCTGTGCAAACCCGACCCGACCCGACCCGACGCACCCGTCTGATCCGAAATCCGAAATCAACGCATCCGACCCGACCGCCATCCGAAATTCCATATCCGATCCGCAGCCCTATACGATGTCGGATAAAGGAGTTCGGATAGGGTTTGGTTTTTTCCCATCCGACCCGTCCGATTACCCGAAGATTGCTAGGGTTAGGTTTTATGTGTATGCTAGACGACGTCGTATGAGGTTAGTATATATGTATGTTGAACGCTCTTGTGAGCCAGATGCGCAGCTCTCTAGTCTCTTCTCTTCTCTGAGACTCTCAGCTCTCTTCTCTCGTTCTCTGTTCTCTGACTTCTCTCTACTCCTCTCAAATCTCATCCTCTGAGTCTCTCACAGTCTCACCTCTCACTAGTCTCTACTCTCTGAGAGTCTGACTGTCTGAGACTCTGAGTCTCTACTCTCTACTTTCTCTATCTGAGACTCTGTGGAGTCTTCGATTGTCTAATTGTCCGATTGTCCGGTGGTGGACTGGTGGAAGCCCTTCTCGAGTTGGTGGTGGACTGTGGACTGGTGATTAGAGGCCCTTGTTCTCCAGGGAATATTAAGGGGAACATTAAGGGGAAACCAAGTAAAGCACAAACCCTAGTTTTTGTTTTTGTGATCTGTTGATTATTTTCTCTCTGCATGTTCAGATGTTCGTATATTTGTGTTAGTCTGTTAGATTATGCTATGTTTTGTTCTATTTTATGATCTATTATGGTGGAAGCACAAACCCTAGTTTTTGTTTTTGTGATCTGTTGATTCTTTTCTCTCTGCATGTTCAGATGTTCGTATATTTGTGTTAGTCTGTTAGATTATGCTATGTTTTGTTCTATTTTGTGATCTATTATGGTGGAAGCACAAATCCTAGTTTTTGTTTTTGTGATCTGTTGATTCTTTTCTCTCTGCATGTTCAGATGTCGTATATTTGTGTTAGATTATGCTATGTTCTGTTCTATTTTGTGATCTATTATGGTGGAAGCACAAACCCTAGTTTTGATTTGTGTGGACTGTGATATTGTAATATGTTGAGAAGTTCCAGATTGCATGTCACTTGTCTAGTTGTCTCTAATTTGTGATATTTTTGATAGTTTGATAAGGGTTTATGTGATTGTGATTTCTGTGGACTATGATAAATTGGTAATGTGATATTGTGATCTGTTGAGAAGTTCCAGATTGCATGTCACAGACTCACAGTGTCACTTGTGTATAATTTGTGATACTTTGATAGTTTGATTGTGTGGACTGAGATAATGTTTTATTGTTGATACTTGAGAAGTTCCAGATTGCATTTATTGAATTATTGGTGGAAGCCATTAAATATTTAAATGATAATATTTGCATAAAAGTTAAAGGCTTGAATGTGAAATTATCAAGTTTCAAACTTGAAATTTCCATTTATTGGTGGAAGCCATTAACTGAAATCCAGATAATGATGAATTGGATACAATTCCTGAATCTGGATTTCTTTCATTCTTTGAGTATGTTTATGGATGTATTACCCTTAATTGAATGTAAATATGTAAATATGAAAATGTGAAATCTTGATACATGATGACACAAAAAGTGTCTGAATCTTGATTTCTTTGTATGTTTATGTGATTGTTGGCTTGTTGCCTTTGCTGGGTTCTTGAAGTACTTGTATTTGTTGGACCTTTAATTGATGTCCATCATTTTAGATGGAGAGCATCAATCTTCCTGACTCTGGACCTCAACCCTCAACTCAAGAGGGACATGGAGGACAAGCCCAAGGCACTGAGAATCCTACTCAGCAGCCTCAGGTTGCTCCTGCTGTTCCTGCAAAAAAGAGGAGGGTGGTTGAGTCTAGATCTCCAGTCTGGGATCACTTTGAAAAGATCAAAAACTCTGAAAATATAGTGGTTAAAGGCAAGTGCATTTACTGCCTGAAAGTGTTTTTCTGTGAGTCTAAGAAACATGGCACATCATCTTTGAAAAATCATATGCTGGCATGCCTTAAAAATCCTGTTTCAAAGGATACTAGGCAGTCCCTTCTCACATTCAATACTATTTCAACTTCTGCAACAGAGTCTCCTGTGGGGGTTTTGGGGACATGGGTCTTTAATCAAGAGGCCATTAGGAGGGCATTGTGTGAGATGATCATCATAGATGAACTCCCTTTTAGGTTTGTTGAGGGTCAGGGGTTCAAGAAGTTTATTCTTGTAGCTTGTCCTAGGTTTCAGATTCCTTCTAGGTGGACTATTTCTAGGGATATCTACCAAATTTTCCTAGATGAGAGGTTGAGTCTTAAGAAGTTGTTTAGGGTGGGCACCCAAAGGGTTAGTTTAACCACTGATACATGGACTTCTGTCCAAAGGATTAATTATATGTGCATTACTGCACATTTTATTGATGACCAGTGGAGGCTGCAGAAAAAAATAATTTCCTTTGTCCCTGTTTCTTCTCATAGGGGGGAGTATATTGCCAAAGCCTTAGAGAGTTGTTTGTTGGAGTGGGGGATTAAAAATGTGTTCACTGTGACAGTGGACAATGCTTCTTCTAATGATACAGCTATGGAATTTTTTAAAAGCAAGCTATTGTCTTGGGGTTCTTCTTCTGTTAGGGTGCAGTATATGCACATGAGGTGTATAGCCCATATCTTAAACTTAGTGTTTCAAGATGGCTTGATGTTTGCAGATGAGTCAGTTAAAAGGGTGAGGGATGCAGTGAGATGGGTTAGGAACTCACCTGCTAGGTTGAATAAGTTCAAAGAGCTTGCTGAACTCATTGGGGTGGAAGCCAAATCAGCTTTGCAGCTTGATGTCCCTACAAGGTGGAACAGCACCTACATTATGCTCAACACTGCAATTCAATATCAAAGTGTCTTTGACTCATATCATCAAAATGATCCTTCTTTTTCTGCTGACTTGGGTTCTGCACCTTCTTTCCTTGATTGGGAGACTGTTGAAAGCTTAATGATGCTTTTGAAAACTTTTTATGAAATGACAGTGAGAATATCTGGTTCTCTTTATGTCACTTCTAACACATTCTTCTCTGAGATCTCTGATCTAAGTTGCATGCTGGAAGATATGACTAAAGCTGAGAATACTGAAAAGGTAAAACACTTGTGTTTATTTGTGTAATTGTGTATAACTTGCCAAGTTGTATGTGTTTTTAAATGTTTATGCTTTCTGAGTTTCTGTATTTATTAGGCAATGGGGACAAAAATGAAAGACAAGTTTGATAAGTACTGGGGAGATCCAGAAAAAATGAACCATCTCATTTTCTTTGCCAATATTCTGGACCCCAGAGATAAGGAGGAGTACATGCCTCACCAGTTTGTCCAGTTGTATGGAGATGTCAAAGGCAAAGAATGTTTTGCCAAGGTCCAAACTGCAATGGTTGCATTGTATAATAACTATGCAGCTACATACTCTGACAGTTCATCCTCTGACCAACCTGTCCAGTCTCAGCCTACTACTTGTACAGTTGGTAGGCCTGTCTCAAGGATGAAGAGTGAACTTAAAAAAAAAGATTGGAGAGTGGTGGTGGAAGCAGTAAGCAGACAGAGCTACAAATATACTTGAGTGAAAATCTGGTTGAGGATGATGAATCTGTGAGTTTTGATGTTCTAAAGTGGTGGAAGAGTCATAGTGAGAGATTTCCTATTCTCTCCAAAATGGCTAGAGATGTGCTTGCAGTTCCTATTTTCACAGTTGCATCTGAGAGTGCATTTGGTACAAGTGGAAGGGTGCTTGATGCATTTAGGAGTTCCTTGACTCCTAAAATTGTGGAAGCCCTACTGTGTACCCAAGATTGGTTGAGGTTACATAATCAGCCAATCATACTTGAGGAAAATTTAGATGAGGTTGAAAGATTGGAGAAAGGTAAATATATATTTCTTAAATCATTTCTTTTTTAGTTTTGTAACTTGTAAGTCTAGAACTAACTACTTATACTTAACTGTTTTGCAGAGTTACCCACTGGAGTTGGAACTACTCTACCATCAATGCTGTCATCCATTCCTGTAATATTTTCAGTAATTATTATTTGTTTAACTAATTATTTATCTTTATATGTTATAGTGTTGTACTGTTGTTTGCTGTTGGCCTTCACAAGATGAAACTCTAAGAGTCTTAACAGTCTAAGTGGCTTGGCAACTTTCTATAATTATATTATAGAAATGTTGCCCCACTTAGAGTTGAGCAGTATTCACTATTCAGTACTGATGTCCCATACTCCCATTACATCCATTCTGGATCTCTGGTATTCCTCTCATCCTCTGAATTGATCTCTGTTCAGTTTTAATGCATTATTATTTATTATTACTTATTTTTTTGGCAATGATGATGCTTCCACCACTGTCTGAACAAATGGTATAGTGTTGCTATGTTGCTCATGTGCTATTATAACACATTTGAGCAATTTGCCACTATCCTTACTTGAAATGGAAAATTGCAATCTGAGCCTATAAGGCTATTAGCCTAATGCCCCTACAACATAATATTGTTACTTAGTTAGCTGTTTACTATATATGTTGTCTAATAATCTAATATTGTGTTGAGTTTTCATATTAACTGCAGGAAGAAGTGTAGAAATGGTGATTGATGTCAGCAGATTTGCTGAAAAGGCCTAGACTGGAATGATTGCTGAAGTTTAAGTGATTAACTTCGAATTTTTGATGTTTTGAAAGTTAAACACTTAAACTTAGATTAATTTTATATTTTTGGTTTACTTTTTGCAATTTTGTTTGTAAACTTAAATTATTTAGCTATGCAAACTGTCCATTAAAAAGTTGTTGCATGTTTTATTTTGTTAACTTATTAGTTATTACTTATTTTGTTAATAGAAACTTGGTAAATTAAATATTATCATATTATGTTTTTTTAGTTTTAAATTTTCAATTATTAATGAACTTTTCCAAATCCGAATTAGGTCCGACATCCGATCCGTATAATCTGAAATCCGACATAGCATATCCGATAGGGTTTTAGTTTTTAAAAAAAAAACGGATAGGACTTCAAAATTGCAATCCGCAATCCGATCAGATGAACGGAAAAATCATCCGATCCGATCCGATTCGTCCGATGCATAGGCCTAGAAATATATAATTCATTCCGCGAACCAAACGTACTGTAATTGTAATTGAATTGGTGCAGTAGGAGGAACCAAAGTTTCAATTGCTATATATAATTAGATAGCATGCATTTAGATAGAGAAATTAAAACAATATCGTATTTATAAACTGTTAATCGATGCAAATCCGTGACAGATGATGCTAATTCTGTTTAATTACAAACCTTAATCACGAGATGCCACCAACCTGCTACTACGTACTATACATATAGAGTTTCACGCAAGTGGCCATGTCGGTCCAATAATATAATGTGATTTTATGATAAATTTATACACACTGTCTTTGATCCCTAACATTAACTATGTTATCCGTGTTAGTCCGTGATGTTTTGGAATTTCCATAAAATGGAAATAAATAATCTTAATACCTTGTGTTACAACTCACTTCAATCCAGTTTCCCAGATAAGATATATGTCTATATGGATAAATTAATAAATAATCTAAATACCTTGTGTTACAACTCACTTCAATCCAGTTTCCCAGATAAGATATATGTCTATATGGATAAATTATACCATGGACCAAGATTTACAATACAAAATCACATTTAAATTATGTATCTATTTGTAGTTAACACATTATGTATTCGTAAATAAATTGCAGCTAAAACGCATAATGTGTTAACTACAAACATATAATTACATTTAACATATTATCTGCATGTAGTTATCATATTATATGCCTTCAATTTATTTATGATAAAAACTTGTGTAAGACCGTCTCATAAGTCCTTGTCCGAGAGATGAGTTGGGTTAAGATAAAAATGTAATACTTATAGTGAAAAATATAATACTAATCAGGAATATATACATACATACATATATATATATATATATATATATATATATATATATATATATATATATATAATGTTTAGGAAAATTACATTGTAATACATTTAAGGAAAAATGTAATACTTTTACATTTTAGTTTAAAAGTATTACTTATTCTATCCTATTTTATCTATCCTACATACTATTCACGGGTCAAACCAACTCTTTGTTCTTTGTTTATTTTCTTTATTATTTTTTACTTATTTTTAAATTTATTTTTTTTTTGTTTAATAGTACTTTTAGTGTAGTTTCTAAATATATAAATTTTGTATATTAATATTAAACATAATATTATGAAAATTTAAATTAAAAATAACTTCAGTCAACTCTTGTTAACCGAACCAGACACATAACATAAGACGGATGGAGTACATTTTTCCTCTAAATATTTCACTTTTCTTTATACTGTAATTAACAAACACTTTATTTTTAATTATTATTACTTGTAGTATAAGTATTACATTTTCATATTCACCCGATCAATTTCACGCGATCTCATAGGAGAATCACTCTTTATTAACAGTCAGATAATTTATTAACTGAAGACGCATAATATGTACCCATCATTTTTTAATCATATAACCCATGATGCAAGTGGACTCGGGTGCATGGCTATATAAACCCCTCTAATCCCTGATCAAAAGAGCTATCTATAATCTATATCTAAGCTACAAAGGAAAAAGAGAGAGAGAGAGAGAGAGAGAGAGTTTCTTCCAGCTAGCTAGCTAAGAGATCAGATAATATGGAAACTTGCAGAAAAACAGGTGCCATTTTGGCGTTGTCGTTGTTGATGGTGGCGGTGGCGGCAGCCGGCGGCGGCGGTGGGAGGTTGGCAAACGACGAAGACAACTCCATTTGCGGATTGAGCGTGGAGGAGCTGATGACTTGCAAGGAGGCAGTAACGGCGGGCGGTCATAATAATCCGCCGTCGACTCTTTGCTGCACAGCTCTTTCCAAAGCAAAACTGCCGTGCTTATGCAACTTTAAGAACAATGACGTCCTCATCAAAACCTTCAAAATCAACCCCGCCCTCGCGGTGGCGCTCCCCGCCAAGTGCGGCCTTCCTCCGCCACCTTGTGCGGCGGCTTAGCTTAATTCACTCAACGTAACTCCGACGGATCCATCTATTATTAATTATGTTTTTCATGTAATTGTGTTTCCGATCTTATATTGTTGGTGTAGTGCAAATGTTTTTATCAGTGGTTTTCCTTTACATTATTGTATGTTTAATTTTCGTTCCCTAAGTGTACTTGCTAATTAAGTTGTTGTATCAATGCAATATTTTATGTGGATTATATTATTGTGGACTAATTAAACTACTGATAACTGTAATATAGTAAGTAGCATTTAAAAAAGCTACTAATGACTGTAACATACATTTTATTCCAAATAATTATATTCCTCAAAGAATTTGGTGAGAAAATTAAATTCAAAATAATATTCTAAGAATTTATCCAACCATCATAATTTACAAGAAAATGGACAAAATCAAGACATATGTCACACACATTTTTTTTTTTTTTAAAAATCAATTTGCTTCCTCCAAAAATGTTAGGATCATTAAAGTGTCAATTTCTTATGATAAATGGTTAATACGAAATACTTGAGCATATGGCAAACTGAGAAAGGAAGAACACATATGCATAATACTGAAGAAGATGTTGGTAGGGATTTCTGGAGAGGTTTAGCAATATGTAAGAAAAAAATTTGGGAATTTTTCATTTACAAAACATGTTGTCTAACACCACTATTTATAGGGAACTTGGAATTGATGATTAGCATTATATTAATCATGGTATTAATATGATATTAAAATTCATATTGTAACCCCTACCTAATAATTCACCTGACTCATTTTATCTGTCTTATTTATTATTTATTGGTCAAACCAACTATTTATTTTTTTGCTTGTTTTCATTAGTATTTACTTATAATTTTTAAATTTGATTTTTTGTGTTTAATAGTAATTTTAAGGGTTAATTCCACCAAAGGTCATTTGTCTTTGGTGGCAATTTCAAATTTAGTCCCAAACTATCATTTTTGTCATTTAACATCCCAGACTATTACTTTTTAGACACTACTTTTAGTCCTTCTCATAATTTTTTCTATTTTTAGTTAGAGCATTTTAGTCTCTTCATATTATTCTTTTGTTATTTTTTCGGTTTCAACCGGTTTAATTGGTTTAGAACTTTAGGTGATCTCTGATTTTTAGTAACCACATTTTAAACCGGTTTTTAGTAAAGTTCTAAACCAATTAAACCGGTTGAAATCGAAAAAATAACAAAAGAAAAATATGAAGAGACTAAAATGTCCTTACTAAAAATAGAAAAAAATCATAAGAAGGACTAAAAGTGTCCAAAAAGTAATAGTCTGGGATGTTAAATGGTAAAAATGATAGTCTGAGACGAAATTTAAAATTACCACCAAAGACAAGGGACCTCTAGTGGAATTAACTCTAATTTTAATGTAGTTTCAGAATATATAAATTTTAGATACTAATTATAAACTTAATATTATGAAAAATTAAATTGTAAATAACTTCAGTCAATCATTGATAACCAACCGACACATAAAATGGGATGATGTGACTATAATTAAGTTTGAACCCTAAATTAAATTCTACAACCAAATTAATAAAAAATTCATAAATTATGTGTATTGTACTGAAAAAATTTGGGATAAAGGTCAGCCCTTGAATTATTCATTTTTAAGCTCAATAACTAGAAAATTTCCAATTAGACACGAATTTAGAAGAAAAATAAATTAGCTCAATTTCACTTGTTATTATTGGTAATAAAATTCAGGTTAAAGGTGATTATTGGAATACCACATCAATATGCTTTATTGACTTGGATGCCTGCCTAGTATAATAATAATAATAATAATAATAATAATAATAATAATAATAATAATTATTATTATTATTATTATTATTATTAACTAGTATTTTCACCCATGCGATGCACGGAATGGAATTATTGTAATATATTAAGAATATTTAAATCGATATATAATTATTTAAGAGTTAATTTCACCAGAGGTCGCTTATCTTTCCTGACAATTTCAAATTTAATCCTAGACTATAGTTATTAATTATTAAGATTTATTCTATGTTATAATTCTTAAGTTAATATTCTTACTATTATTATTAACACTTAGCTTAATTACTTTTAGATATTATTATTACCACTTATATTGTTATTATTAGTTTCTTTTCAAGTTCTGTTAGTATATAATGGCTGTGAGGCACAATATAATAATATAAGATTGGTAGAGTCGATTTGAGACTAAAAAATAAGAACCCGGTTATTTGTTTTTGCTTCTAGGTTGTATAGAGGCAGGAATATGTTAAATGAATTTTTCAAAACGACGTCGTTATTTATATCGCAAAAATCCCCAATTCGCAAAGCAAAATCTCATAACCTATTCGCGAGGAGGACAGAGGCACAGAGCTACCGCACGACGAAGACCGACAGGTCAGAACTCACACCCTCCAATTTCATGCCAATGGAGAAGTTAGATTAATTCTATAAATGTTGTTAAGTAGAGCTTAAATTGGTTAAATACATACATTTTAAGCGGATTAAGAGAAGATGGTTCCAGAATTCAGCAATAAGAGTAGTGCTTTCTTGTAATTTTTTTGTTCTTCTTTACACTATGCTATATATTTTTCTGTTTATATGCATTTTTTAGTCATCTTTAGGGTTTAATTCAGTTTTTTATGCTTCTATTCTTGTATAAATCTGGGTTTGTGAAAATTTTCCAACATTTTGTAGTCATCTCTGGGATTAGGATTTAAGTCCTTTAGACTAGGAAGGATTTTCAGGTTCACTTGTTCTATTATTTGAAAATGGAATTAGGATATGCTAAAAATCCAGTTTGTATGAAAAGTGGAGCGTATTTAGTGTTTGCTATTCTGCCACCATTGAAAGTTGGGAGCTAATTATTACGACAGTCTATTGGAGATTTTATACTTATTTATGCTTAATTGCTCGGAAATATAAACTTCTTGTTAGATTGTTAATTTGTTAGAAAATATGATGCTAGGCGTTAGAAAACAATTTCGTTGTTCTTCATGACTATTGAGTGTATTTTGATTTTTTTTTTTTTTTTTTTTTTTAACTACAGAAGTATCAACATATCATATAAATGAGCCAAATATTTGAACTTTGATGAATTGAGAGAACTTAAAAGCCGGAACTTTAAATCCAGGCCACTTACTAAAAGAGTAAAATGTGATGAGAGAATAATTAAATCTAAAATCATGTGGACAGATGTTATGAAGCTAAAACTGAAGCTAACAGCACATATTTTCTGTTCTTTCTTGTTCCCTTTCATTGTTGCTCTTTATTGTAATGTCAAATCATATTACAGCAAGGATTTAATCTTATATGCACCTATTCAATTACAATTAGTTTAAACTAGTTGCATGAAATTACTTGATTTATACCATTCATATGCATTCCTGCAATGTCGAACTAATTAAGTCCATAAATTAGTTCGATAACATTCTTGTGTCATTTCACTAAGTACTGCGCAAGCTCTCATATCCATTATCTAAAGTTAGATAAATGTTTCTGTTTCAGACTTTAGATCTTTTTACCAATGTTTTAAGGTTGCAAACACGATTTTTACAAGTGATGCCGAGTAGTATTGCTAGTACAGTATATTACATTTGACAAATGCACACAACATTGAAAATATAATGTGGTAAATAAGGTCCCAATCTCCTAGAACAAGAAACAAAGAGGGGGAAAAGGAGAAGAAATAATAATCTGTAATAAATGTAATATAGCTTTGGCCATTTTTAGATTTTTTTTAAAAAAGAAATAATTAATTTATTTTTATTTACTTGACCATGGGCAATTGTATTTTGATAAATTTGAACTTCTTTGATTAGACTTTCTCCGGTATGTGCTACATCCAGGCACTCCTATATATTTCTGCTTAAATCTTGATATATTAATTCCGTTCACTATATAGACAATTCTAACCCTCCAAATCCTTTTGATATGTCCAAAAGGATCAGTTGTTTTACAATGATGCCATATACTCTCTTTGCGAATCTGTTATTACATGTAACTTGGCCATATCTAAATGATGCATTTTACTATCTCCATTTGATTTCTTTCAAAGAAGTTGATTGGTGGTTTATATTCCTTGTCGTTCAGGAGAATCTTTTGATGGACAATCTTGTAGACTCTCTAAACAGTGCGTACCTAGAATTTGTTGCAGCAGCAGCCAATGTACTTGAAGCAAAGGAAAGCTCTGGGGCTCAAAAACCTGCGGTGACTGATGCTGCTTTAGAAAACTTTAAGCAACATTGGGAGTTGTTCAGAGTTGCTTGTGATCAAGCAGAGGAGTTTGTGGAGTCTGTAAAGCAAAGAATTGGGTCCGAGTGTTTGGTAGATGAGGCCACTGGCTCCATTTCTGGTAAGCCCGGGCAGCCTGCTACAAGTGGGCTACAGCCCATCAGTGCAGTTCGGCTGGAGCAGATGAGTAAAGCTGTCAGGTGGTTAGTGATTGAACTGCAACATGGTTCTGGGACCGGTGGTGCATCGTCACACCCCCACCCTTCCGCTCCCTTCGACGCTCGATTTTCTGAAGATGCGGTTCAATAGGTATGGGTACTGGCTAGTAATTCTGGGTAGAGCTTTCAACTATTGCTCGTTTTTACCATATTACTTTTTGCAGGGAATTGCTGAAAGGATGCAGTTGTAAAGCACACCATGATGCCTCAAGGTCACATTACATTGTTGAACATCCCGGGTATACTTATATTGTAAGATACTGAGATAGCGTGTTTTTAAATTGTTGCATACATTGTTCGGATATATATATATTTCTTATAACCGCTATGGCTCCTATGAAGGGGACTGAGAGAGGGAAATGAAAGGAGAAAGGAATTAGATAGGTATTTGTGTGAGGTAGAACAAACCCCTTCCCCTTAGTGGAGATAATATGTTGTATTTCTTCTTTGTTGCCTTGCAATCTTGTATCACACCGGCTTTCCTTCGGGTCATCCCAAAGTGCTCATAAGTTGTAAGCAAGTGATCATTATTTTTACATGTGGTTTTCTTGAATCGTGCAAAACACATAGGGCATGCTTGAATGCTAGTTCTCAATTAGAGATGTCAATGGTTATTAGAGCGGACCATGGTCCATACAGTTGTGTGGACCATAATCGAATACGGTGTCGTTTCTTTTAATTAAAAGAAACGGCTGTCATTACCGTCAATAATAATGTATCACGTTACAGATATGTATATTGTCAAATGAAACCTATAGTAGAATTAAAATGATATTTTAATGTTGCTATAATGAACCTATTGTATGTCTAAAATGAAATTGAATAATAGAGTTTATACAAATGTATATTGTCAAATGTTGCTATAATGGATCTATTGTTGTGGTTGGCTTTGTGCGAATAAAAGTGCATGATTTCCCTAAAAATTACTCGGTAAGTTAAATACAATAAGAAAAAATAATTAAAAGTTTTAAAAATACTGCGTAATTTAACTAATAAATAGTAAATATGAAAACATGAGGAGATATTTGATAAATAGCAGTTAGCTGATACCTGATTTAGTTAGTGAATTTGACTAGTTAATAGTTTTGGCTAATAGTAAAAAATTGTTTGGTAAATTAGTTGTTAGCTGATTACATGTAAGATGATTTTCTCAAAAAATTGATCGAATAAACTGCTTTGAGCAACTTTTTAAATTGGAATAAGGGTCAAATAGGTCATTGAATTGCACATCAAAGTACAATTAGATCATCGAACTAAAAAACAATGCAGTTGGGTCCCTAAACAATACAAAATTATACAATTAGGTCCAAAATGACATGTTTACATGAAATGGTGGTTATCAATTTTAAACAAAATAATTAATTAAAAAAAAAAAAACTAGAACTGCCGAAGACGAATCGTCTCTAGCAGTCTTCGTCTCTATGGTCGAAGACGAAGAGCTTCATTTCCAGCCATGGAGACGAAACTTTCGTCTCCATCGCCAGGAGACGAAGGTTCGTCTCCCTGACCATGGAGACAAAGAGACTTTCATCTCCATGGCCAGGGAGACGAACCTTCGTCTCAGTCTTCGTCTCTATGGCCGAAGACGAAAGAGACGAAGGTTCGTCTTCCTGACCATGGAGACGAAGAGACCTTCATCTCCATGGCCAGGGAGACGAACCTTGGTTTCCTGGCGATGGAGATGAAGCTACTCGTCTCCATGGAGACTGACGGAGACGAATTGTCTCCCCAAATTTTTTTTTATTTTAATTTTTAAAAAAAATTAATTAATTATGTTATTTAAAATTATATTTATAAATGGCAACCACCATGTCAGCACAATTCCAAGTCAATAGGTCATTTTAGACCTAATTACATAATTTTGTGTTGTTCAGAGACCCAATTACATTTTTTTTAGTTCAATGGCTTAATTGCACTTTGGTATGCAGTTCGATAGTCTATTTGACCCTTATTCCTTTTAAATTTTAACATTTTGAAACAATAAGATGTTACAAAAAACTAATTAATCAAACAATCATATTTATTGTTTAACCAAGTCAAACAACTAATAATGATCAAATAAGTCAAAATTGACTGATAAACTAACTATGTTACCAAACAAAGCCGAAATAGGATTGTTGTGACCAATTCACATTGTTGTGAGACAATTGAATCTTCATCCAAAAATATTTATAAAGGAAAATGTAGCACAAGGCACTAGAGCAAACCAACTCGAATTTAGAGTAGAAATAATAAGAATTTAAAAAAAAAAAATCCAAAATTGAAACTTGAATAAAAACCCTTCCAACAATGAAGGGTCTAAATGACATACATTAAGTACAATACTGATTGCCTAATATCCACAGATACCCCAGACTCCGTTGACACCATCAGTATCAGTATATCTCATTCCTCATTCCGTCAAAAACTCCAGCTCAAACTGGTACAGAGTATAACCTATGAGATCAGAAAACAAAAGATTAGTTCACAACTTGCTGTTCTTTTGTTTTGATATTTACACGAGATAACATCCTATAACATTGAAGATTTGAAGCTTAACTCCAATAACACGAGATAACTCTCAAGCAGGTAGTGTCATTCCATTTGCAATGCGCACAGGCACAACAGATAAATTCTTTGGAATCATTAATTGGAGTTCCAAGAACCATGTGAGATTTTACACTACCATAACAGTAAGAAAGCAATTCAACCACAATTCGCAAAACCCAAACCTGCATTTTAGAATTGCTTTGTTTTTCTTTTGTTAAGTACAAGAGCAACTGATAAATGTATTCCTATAACATTGAAGCTCAACTCCATGGATTTAATAAGAGATGGCTCAAGCAGATAGGCTATTTCATTTGCTATTAGCACAGATAAAATCTTTGGAATCACTAACTAGACTCCCAAGAAGAACTATGTGCATATAATAAACACAACACCAATGGCAAATTACATATTCAAACAAAAACCCAAAACCAGGAATGCATGCGATATCAATTATACTACAATAATTCCTTTAACAACAACAATACCTTAAAAGAAGTTGAATATTTTTTAATACTCGTGCAACATGATGACATTAACATGCTTCAATTATGTCACAAATTCCAAAATAAACTTGTATTCCATATTTCCATGCACTAGAATAATATAATGACTAATACACAACCACGAAAGCATCAAGTATAGAATGGATCTCATATAAAATATATCTGGATCAATATCACTTGGAATTTTAGGACATTGCACAAAAGATAGCAAAATTCTAATTTTGGGGCAATGCCCTACTTCTAGTAAATTCATATTTGTGTAATTATTTTCCTCCCCCTCAATTATATTATGGAGTATTATATTAAAATATATTTACTTGTGTCATTTCTAAGAAATGATTCTCCCCTATTACAATTCTTTAACTAAAGAGGAAAAAAGAAGTAAAAACATTTTTTGAGCATTCAAGACAGTAGGTAAACTGTTTTCTCAATGGGCCAAATTTCTTTTAGAAATAATCCCACAAGTTTTGTATCTTCAAGATGATAAATCATTCTGGAAAACACTAAGCAAATTGAATCTGGAAATGGAGAACTTCAAATGCTCTATTACACAATAGGCTAAAAAAAGTTTGCCCTGGAATAAGCCATACCTTAGAGATTACAAAAATTCTATGCATTGTCACCTACAGTAGGAAGACTAGTCACTTTGCCCACAGCAACAGTTTTCCCTGCAGAATATCACAACGATCATGATACATGTTCCAAAGAGGATAAACAGTAAGAAAATTTTATAGGCAACAGAAAACTAAGGATAAGTTACAAACCCTCTGTGCGAAGAGTGAATCTTCCAAGCTGGGCAAAATCAGAAAATTTCTCAATGCATATCAGACTGTTTACCTAGAAAGGTAAAAGCAACAAATTAATATAAAAACAAATTCAAACCTATAAGGCTTGCAATAGTGATAAACATTTACAATAGGAAAAAAAGAAAGCACAAAATTTGGGGATGTCCATTAGCAAGTGCCCAAGAACTAGGAAAAAATTAACACAAACATATAGGATAAATTTGATCTATTTCATATTCAAAAGAGACAAGCATAGTTCTATATATGGGGAGAGTAGAGAGCAGAATTCAGAAAATTTAAAAAGCCAACCTGAACGCGGCACACAACAAAAGCACCATTCTTTACAAAGAGTGGTTTCTTTTTCATCGGTTTCCTTGTTTTAGGATCAATTTGCTGCATCAACTCTACAATTTCACATTCCTCAACAACTGAGTGAATGTGCAACACAGCCTTGTATCCAGCAGTAAAAATTGCCTGAAATATATATCAGTAGTTAAATTCCACACAGATGTACAGAGCAAATATATCTCAAACAACCCAATCACAAAATGAACAATACGAGACTAATATAGTTAAAGATCAATTCATACATTATCCAGCAACTCCAGGATTGACAATTGAGCAACAAACTCAGTAACAGCAGGTACCGGCTTAGCTGCATTAAGAAAAATGTAATAGTCATATAAAAGATGTCTTCAAAGCCAGTGTTTTTACCCCCAATCCCACAAAAAGAAGTAAGCCTATTGATTTACCAATTCAAGAATATCTTGAAAATAAAAAAGTAAATGTAGGTCAAGAATAGTGAAAATAATTTTTTTGTATTTACCAACACTGCACAAAACAAAACCCGACAAGATATCCTCTTCCTCAACCCCGGATAATCTGACTCGCAAGTTTTCCCCAGGCCCTGCACGTCGAACCTTGTCTTCATCTATGAATACGGCAAGAACTTTAACAGGAGCCTGAACATGCAAAGGAAATTAGAATTCTTGAAATAGAACTATTACACAAGTCTCTGTAAATTGCAAAACAAAATTGATCCTTAATTAATAAAATCAATGATTTAGGAAAGGTCACCTTATTAGGCATCACCAACAAATTGTCTCCCTCACGTATGCTACCAGATTCTACTTTACCCATAACAACTGTTCCCATGTCTTTAAATTTATCAATAATTGGCATTCTACAAACATAAAGCCAAAGTTAGTACAAAACCTGATAACCAAATTTGTTTTTTTTTTTTTAAAAAAGATCCAGGTTATATAAGTAACTGCGTGCTAGCAAGTATTCTAACTGGAAATATGAGAGTTAGATAAACAGATATCTAATACAAAATAATATTTAGATACAGAGCACTCTAACTGGGAATGTGAGTCTTGGAATCATAGCATGCTGAGTTGGTATGTAGCCAAATGGGTTCCAGCTGTACCTGAAAGGACCTTTAGGATCACGATGTGGGACTTCAACCGCATCAAGAGCTTCAAATAGACAGGGGCCATTCCACCATGGACAAACACTTCTATCCAATCTTGTTTTCAAATTTGAACCCAAAAGCCCAGATATGGGAAGAAATTGAACATCTGTATGTCAAAATAAATAAAAAATAAAAATAAAAATCCTTTGAAGTAGCAACTACAGTGATAGATTTTGCGTTGATGATTCTATGCAAATCTATTGTTATGGAATTCAAAGGAATGTTACATACACACCCAAAAGAATAAAAAGAAACACGAAGAAAATGACCCCATTGTAATCCACAGAAGTGAATAGTACAACTGAGAGAGGCATGTTCTTTTTTATATTTTTTAATGTATATTTTAAGAACACTTCATTTTCAAACATTTGAAAGAGCAAAATGTTTGACATTTTATTTATAGAAACAGTGACCAACAAAAACCATATATTTAAGGAGGCAAGCCTTGCAACAATACCAAGAGGAACAGAACTGAGCTCAAGAAATCAGGTCATATTCTGCAGACTTGAAAGTTAACTAAGCCCAACATGATAATTTACACAAACACAATGTGGAACACTCCTTGAAAACATATGAAGAAAATGATACATTTATTCCATATGAAACCATTCCTGGTGGTTAGAGATCATCAAGTAATTTCAAGCAAATTGTTTATTAGAGTAAATTCCAATTTTGTCCCAAGTATAGTGGCAATTCCACTTCAATACCCAGAGAATTCAATGAGACGAAATGATAGCACAGCTACTGAAAATTAGACACATTTTTTACATTTGTCCAATTTGCCCAGAAATATAAAAAGAATTGATAGAAATGGTCCCCACACTATTCAGAATCTTACAAAGACTATCCTTCCATTAGGTTTTCTGTAAAGGAACCATTGCTGTCCAAATAGTTGAGGGATAGTTGCTAGCCAATTTTTCACTCAGGCTACCAAAGTGGAAGTGCCACTGTAGTTGGAGTAACAAAAACTAAAAGTGGAAGTGCCACTGTAGTTGGAGTAACAAAAACTAACTATTGTTCATTATAAAAGGTCATGGAACTTTATACTGAATATTATTTTAAAGCGAACTTGCACAAAAATACCACTAGTGCAAAAACTGACTTCAGTTTGGGAAATGTGCAGTTCACAACTCAATACTGTATTCATTCATTGTTATTGTAGATCAAAGCATCACTACCTACCGAAACATTGGATAAGGTCCCAAAAAATTTAAAATCACATCTAGCTAAACAAGGAAAATCCAAAATGTGGATATGAAATGAATAAAGAACAGACATTTTACTACAAAAACAAAGACAAATGAAAAAGGTTGATATGGCAAAGAACATGCATACAAAAGGATTTGGAAGTGAGCAGAAATAATCATTAGACAAATGAGATGAGATTAAGGACTAAAAGCTCTACTCATTCCAAAAGATTAAAAGAGGGAGAAAATCCCATTTGCTTACCTTTCTTCACATTATATCCAGAAGACTTCAGAAAAGGTATCATTTTCCCCTCAATTTCATCATACCTGAAAGGAAATAGCTACATAAAGGCAATGGGAAGAAAAAAAAAATCAAAATAAACACTGAAAAACACTCTACAAAGAAACACCTTTCTTTTGACCAGTTGACAGTAGGTTCGTCCATTTTATTTACAACAATGAGGAGCTTTGTAACTCCAAGAGTCTTTGCAAGTTGAACATGCTCACGTGTTTGTCCACCTCTTTCATATCCAGTTTCAAACTCACCCTTCCTTGCAGATATCACCTGGATTGTACCAAGAGAGAGAGAGAGAAAGAGGTAATTGCAAAATGGACACAATCCATTGAAGCTAATTGCAAGTTTCATGACATACAATGAAGAAGTATTACCAGTACACCTATATCAGCTTGAGATGCTCCACTAATCATATTTGGAACATAACTCTTGTGTCCCTGTAGAACAGAGAATTGGAAAAGTAAATCCATGTAACGAACGTGTTGAAAGGTAAACAGGAAATAACTAGCAAAGTACAACCATAATAGAGCAGATTTAGAAATCTTCAATAATAAGCAATCCCCAACACTCCCATAGAAAAAATTAGGTCTGTTTTGGTCGCTTCAAATAGTGTGCACTTTAAGAAAATCTGAACACAAATCATGTGTGCAATTTACCGGAGCATCCAAAATTGTGAATCTTGTAGTTTCTGTTTCAAAATGTGCCCTTCCAACTTCAACAGTAATACCCTACACAGAAAATTACTCAAAATTACAAAAAAAAAAAAAAATTAAAAAATTAAAAAATTAAAAAATGTAGAATTATCAAGTGAATACCTTAACCCTCTCTTCTTCATTTGTGTCCATGATATATGCCATGTACCTGACACAGTCCAACAAAAACAAAATAAAAAGGAACAGTGGTATAAGCAAGCAATATTACTCTTGGAAAAAAGAAACTAACAACCTTCCTAATTAACAATTCGCCTTTTTAAAAAATAAAGTCGGACATAAAATTGCAAATAATCTAAAATGTTAAGCATTTAACCTCAACTAAAATAGACAAAACCTCGGAAGCATTGAACATTTAATGACTTCAGCCAACTAGTCATAAAAACTCAATCTGACATTTCATTGCATTGTGATTACAACATGCCAACATGCACTTAGTATTCAGTAAATCATACTTGAACTATACAACTATACAGTATTTCAGAATCCAGAGATACAAAACAGAATAAATTTAGACCTAGTTGATCAAGGATTTCCACCTACTTCAATTTCTCATTTATAAGTTATTGTTGAAAATCAGCCAAACAAATAATAATAGGTTTCAAACCTCGAGTTTCAAAAGAAACTAAAGCTGCAAACTAATCATCTTAACTCTTAAGAATCTTAAAATTAGGAGTCTAGAACAGCTGCAATAACTTCTGAATTACAGTACGGTCAGTACCATAATGTGAGAGTATCTTCTCCATGATATTTCAATCCAACATTATAAGATGAAATCTGTAATTCATGAAGAGTAGAGGACTTCCACCTCTTTTCATCACGTCATTATAGCTTTCTATCCACAACTCTTTTCATATAACAGACAGTTAAATAGCTATCAAGTGAAATAAGCAAAAATTTCAGACCTACTGCATAGATGATACAAAAATGAGAGGCCACAAAAATCTGGAGGAAGTCAAGTGAGATTTCCAATAGAAACTTCACTACATTAAAGGATTGCCAAAAAACCATTAAAATAACAATTTAGTCAAGTATAACAAGAAGCAAGCAAGATTTACCAGCTCTCTCTACTTTTATCCTTTGCTTCTTTCTCATATTTCTGGATTGTACGGTCATCTACTTGTCCACTAAGGAATAGAATCTGACCACCAATAGTTGACTTCCCAGCATCTGTAGGCATCACCCAAAAAAAAAGGTAAAGAATTAATTACAAGTGATGACGAGATACCAATGTTAGCTTGTAGCTTACATGCTACACCTACAAATTTATCTTAATATGTCCCCAGTAAATTTTTCTGCAATGATGCTTGTATAAAAATAAAAATACAAGAAATATCTTGAAAGTTACCACCATAATCCATAAAGATAAAAGTTTCAAATCACTTTAGATAGGAGTAGCATTTTCCTTCAATTTTCAACTTGATAAACATAATTGATCATCTAGAGGATTACAATGCACACACACACACACATATAATAATTCCTTACCAACATGCCCAATAAAGACAACATTGATATGTCGCTTTTTGTTGAGTTCCACCTCATCATTAATATCATCTAGAGCTGGACTTTTCTTCTCTTTTTCTGTAAAGAATGTGAAAATTGATAAGCACATCAAATTTCTAGCCAGGAATACAAGTAAAGATTTAATGTTTGAACAATTGATTCATGTGGAAAGGACATTGGTATGAATAATATGATCCACACTAATTTTTGCATTGAGGTGATTGTAAACCTATGGAGTATGTTACAAAACCAGTAAGAAAAAAGGACTTGGCGTTTTGTGTGGTAGCTTAAGAAATAATGAAATAAGATAAGTATTTAAGGGTATCAATTTCAGTTGCTAGCTAATTACTGAACTTATGATGCCCTTTCAATGGTAAGCAAGGAAATGTAGAGTTGTAGACTGTCAATAAGGACTTTAAAACCCTATGGAATAAGTATATTCCACCATTTGGTTCATTTTTAAAACCAAGGAATAGAATTCCATGGAATTAGCTATTCTTGCTCATTAGGAATAGCTAAATTTATTTAATACCAATATATATATATATAGAGAGAGAGAGAGAGAGGAAGGATCGTATGAAAACATATCACCCATGTAAAAAGTGTCGATTAATCTCATCCATCCATCTCGTTGATCCTCGAAATTAACGAAAAAGTGCGGTGGCATTTTCGTAATTACATCAATGCATTTGAAAAAACTTGATAATGCATCCGCGAATAATTGACAATGCACTCAAGATCTATAATAGTGTACCCACATATGTCACTATTAGTTATCTGCAAATGCACTATCAAGCATTTCCCAATGCATTGTCATAATTACAAAAATGCCACAACATTTTTTTCATGTTTTCCAACCTTTAATCAACCCAAATGGATGGACTAGATTAATCCACACTTTTAACATGGGCCATTTTTCTCACTTAAACACCCTATATATATATATATATATATATATATACTAAAAAGTGAGGATTGATCACGTCGCCCATCAAGGTTCATCAATGGTTGAAGGTTTCACTAAAAAATACAAGTCAATTTTATAATTATTGCAAACTTTCAAGTTTGCAATATTTATAAAACTAACCCCACCCCCTTTCTATTTATTTTCCAGCAACCCACAACCGTGAATCTACTCAAATAGATGGATCAAATTGGTCCTTACTTTTTACCTAGGGATTTTTTCTCACCTAAACACCCCCATCCCTCTATCTATCTATCTATATACAAACAATTGATTTAAATATATACATAGGCTACTACACACACACACAAAAGAATATATACATATATACAAACATAATACACACACATATGTATGTAAGTATTAATCAATTAATATATTTATTATTTAAATATATCATACACTATATATATACATATATATATATATATATATATATATATATATATATATATATATGAAAAAGATTATATTAGAACTTGTTCGCATGAGAAAAGAAGAACCAAACTCAGCCATCCATCTAATCAAATCTAACGGTTCTAGTGTAAGGAGGGAAAAAAATCACAGTGGCACTTTGGTAATTTTCTTCAACTTTAAAATTGCACTTTCCAAGACTATACAGTATACAGTGCAGTTTGGAACAATACACAGTACATTTTGGCCAGTTTAAAAATGCATTACACTTAGAGTTCACCTTTTAGAGTGAGAGATTGAGAAAACAATTATAATCCCATGAAAAACAGATATCCAAATGAACAGTGAGCAGAAAGGAAAAAAAAAAATTACAGACCTTCTGTAATGCTTTTAGGCTCAATATGCATTGGCTCTGAGTTTGCTTGTGGCTCATGCTTAACATCTATAACACAAAGAAAGTAAACATATTACAACATTCTTCATATGGATATTAATAAGAGCACTACTTTTTCCATAATCATTGAAGCTACAAATTATTGCCTTTAGTTGGAAACAAAATTACAAAGAAGGGTTTTAAAGAGGATGACTGTAAATGGGTTGACTTGATATGATCATATTATGTAATAAGAGATTATAAAAGTATCAGCGTTCAATTCTTATGCAGTCAATTCGTATTTACAGTTTATCAGTTCATTGTATTTTTTAGAGCAAATTACACTTTTGGTCCTATGACTATAGGGAGCGTGTTAATTTTGGTCCGTGACTTTTAAAACTAACAATTTAGTCCTTTAACTATGCTTTTTTTAGCAGATTTGGTCCTTACGGCCAAATCACCGGTGAATTTTCGCCGGAAAAACGTAACCCATTTTAAATTAAATATAAGTGGGGGCAAAATGGTCACTTTAACTTTTTAAAAAAGGCAAAATTCCATCTCTGCGAATACTTTCTCCGATCACCACAGCCGCCTCTGCGAAGGCGTCATCTCCGGCGAGTACCTTCGTCTTCGCCTTTGCGATAAAACCCAAGATGCAATTGCCGAAGTAATTTCTGATTACAGGTGGGTGGAAACATGCCTGGTAATGGGCCGGCCTAGAAAAGTAGTTGTCTCCGTCCTCGTCCTCGTTATTATCTGTGTTTGTCTCGATTCACAATTGTACAAAGCAATTCCAAACGTATGAAGCAATCATGGTAAATGACGATACATGTGTAAGATTGGGTCGTCACCGGAAGATGGAATTTTGCCCCTTTTTAAAAAGTTAATATAAAGTTATTATTACTTGCCGCCATTGTCGTCCTCTAGAAGCTCACGCAGTTCACATGTTGCGAAATTTGCAGAGCAGGAGGTTTGGCTGTAAGCTACTGACCAAAATAAGTGGAGTCAAAATGGTTTCTTTTGGAATCAGAATGTGTATGTGGGCTTTCGGAATCGGAATCGGCTGCCCCTGAGACAAACTCCTGCTAGCATAACCCAAAAGAAAAAAAAAAAACTCCGGCTAGCAGGTGAAGGAAGGAGATGAAAGGGACCTGGAATGACCAATTTGCCCCTATTATTAAATAATTAAAAATGCTTTACGTTTTTCCGGCAACTTTTCACCGGTGATTTGGCCGGGAGGACCAAATCTGTTAAAAAAAGAATAGTTAAAGGACTAAATTGTTAGTTTTAAAAGTCACGGACCGAAATTAACATCCCCCCTATAGTCATAGGACCAAAAGTGTAATTTGCTCTATTTTTTAACACTAAACTAGTTTCACAATAACAGCAGCATGCAGAAACTATCACTTTGACAAAGAACAGATGACTATTTGTCACTGTTTACTAATTAATTTAATGTGAACTAAAATTCAAGAAAACCAAAGCAATCATCAAATAGAGGAAAAAGTAGTCATTAAGTTCATATAAAGTCACACGCTCACAACTAATCCAATAATCATAGAAACATATAGACTATCAAGAAATGCATAGCCCTGAAGAATAGTAACCAGAAAGTATATTAGGGAATCATTGACCAAGAAACTGTCAGCACTACCTCCTGTGTCAGTTTCATCAGACTTTACAACTTCGTCAAGTTTCCCATCATCAGCATTAGCCATAGGAGTATCTTCTGCTTCAAATCAGCCATGTGGGGTAAAAGATACAACAAAATACACACATTCAGAATTACAATCTCAGATAACTATCCAATTCTAAATAAATACTTAGTTTAGTAGTATGCACAGTTGAGTCCAAACCTACCAAAATCTGTAAATAATATTAGTAGTTTTCATATTTACTAGTTACTACAAGGTATAAAATAGACTCATGATATTAGTGATGGAGCTATACCAGATGAATCAAGCTGAAGGGCCTTGATATCTTCTTCAATATCTAAAATTGAAAACAATATATCAAACAGGTTGTACGCATTACTCCATGTAAATATTCTAGCAGTAACTTTGGGAATGCTAAAATTAACAATTAACAAACACCAATAGCAATAACATCACAGTCAGAAAAATATGCACACATTTATATACGCACAAGAGTATTAATTTTCAGATATACCTATCAATACATATATACATGTACCCGTCTAACAATACATTTATGTTCAAAAGAATGATTAACCATATATATTGGCAAATTATTTCCACCTCCACCCTTTCCAATTCAATACTCGCAGAGATCACCATAAAAATTCGGCACAAAATCCAAAACACAAAACGAATTGAGAAGGTAAAGCAGGAAATATTAATTAGCCATGAAGATCTGGTAGAATAAGAAAAAATCACATTGACATACCCATAGCTTAGAAAGGTTAGGCGGATCAAGCAAGTTTCTTTGAATTTCTCCCTAACCAAGCACCAACCCTAGGCTCGTAGAGTTGTTGCTTCTTCAATCTTTTGTCCCTTCTGTAGGGAGGAAACGAAGTCCTTTAGTCTATCTCTTAAGTTAAAGCCACGAAACCAGAGGTTGAATTTGCATCAGACAAGTTCAAACCCTAGAGTTCAGTATCCCGGGCTCTTACTCTTAAGCTGAGGTTATCCTCTTCCCCTAGATTGGTGCCCCCCTGCAAGAATGCCTGCCTCTTGCCCAGATTCTGGACTTGATAAGTTAGCTTGAAACAAGGATACGGGAATTAGGGTTTGAGATTTCCTTTTATATTTTAGGATTTAGGATTTTTTTTTTAAATGGTATTATGAGTTCTGCAAGACATAAACTCCTCTATTTTATCTATTTTCTTTCAAAAAAAAAAAACCCTCCTCTATTTTCCATCAAATCATTCCATTGCTGTTTAATTCGCGAAAAATATTTTATTTTTTAAAATAAAATTAAAATTTCATAGAACTACTAAAAAAGTAAGAATATTAATTTTGTTGTTTGGTTGGGTTAGAATGTTGAGTATAAAGACTAAAAAGTTCCTGCACAATGATAATAATAATAGAAAATAAGAAAGGCAAAATTGTCAAACCATATGTTACTTTCTTTACAACTCCCATGAAAAATAAAATATCACTTTTCCCTTGAAAATTTTTTTCATCAAAACTAAAGAAAACATTTTCTCTGTGGAACAAAATTTTCATGAACCAAACGGAAGAAAATTCAATTTTCCTCAAAATTAAAGAAAACTTTTTCCTTAGAAAACCTTTTTCATCCAACTAAATATGCTCTCAAGATCCTAACCACTATAGTCGAGGACAATTTTGGGTATTAACTTTTTATTTTTTTTTTAAATTTTATTTTAAATCAAAATAAATTTGAATAAATTAAAAAATGTCTCAAAAATTTTCACAAATAACATAAAGTTATTAACTCCTTCTATATATTCATTAGACATTTTATTCTGTGTCATCCATGCGTTATCCATATTAAACACAGTACCCATTAGAACATATAAATTGTCATTTACAATATAAACTACTTTTTCCTTACAATATAAACTAGTTTAAATAGTTAAATCTAAAATGCAAAAACTATCACATACTTTGAATGAAGATTTTAAGAAATATATATTCTGAAAAATTAGAATTAATATATTACAGAACTAAATATTGTTTTAAAATTACAACTTACTCTATGAGAGATGCCTCACTGAATTATTGTTGGGATATTCTAAGAGAGTTAAAAAGTGTTGTTCAATCTAAAAAAATCAAGATTAGCAAATCATGGATTACAAATTGTTATTTATATATATATATATATATATATATATATATATATATATATATATATAAACTCCCTCATCTACCAAATTGTATGAATAATTCATAATAAATTTTTGAATAAATTCAAAAATATATAATACAAAACAAAACAAAGCAAAAATAAATAAATTGTTAGAGAGAAAAGATATCTTATTTTGATTAATGAGACTAATAGTCCACCCAATGATACCAAAATTAGAGTTTATACATTGATGCTTGGGTGGAGATTAGTTATTAGGGTTTCTATTTACTTGACCATAAATGTTTTCTTGATACTTGTGTCATTTTCTCGTGTGCTTGGATTTTTTGGAAGACTTCTATTGAGATTCTATAGAGATGAAGTCTATGTATTATGATGGAGTAGTGAGATTAGAAGCAGAGAAAATTTTATTTTAGTGTAGTGAAATATGAAGTTGATGGTTCTATAAAGTTAGAAGCACTAATAAGGATTTGTAGACATTATTCATTTCTTAAGAAACTATTTGTTAACCAAGGAAGGTGCCAAATGATGAAAACATTCCAGCAAAACATTTTCACTTTTATTGGCATGTTATTCTAAAATTGATTCTTAATATAAAACATTTAGGGACGTTTATTACAAAACATCATTGATTCTATATCTTAATTTATTGACAAAAAAAATATTTTTCGTCAGCAAATAGTATAATTTTTTTTTATTGTCTCTACCAATATATATAGTGATGTTATTTAATATAACATCGCTAATTGTTATATTTAGCGACGTTTTCTAGAGCGTCGACAAAATTGCCACTTGGAAGGTGTCACTCGCAATCATGCCCTCATCACAAATTTCATTGAAGATCATCTGAATTTCTTCAACTTGACTTAACACAGTTTTTGAGTTCACCATTTTATAATCAATGAATTGACCAACGACAAACTTCTCTGCCTCAGTGTCTTCACTCTTATAGTTGTGGTCTAAGGACTCTCACACCTCCTTAGTTGCCTTCAATTTATAAAAAACATCATACACTGAATCATTCAAACCATTTTATTAAGAAATTAATTTTGGCAAAGGAAGTGAAAATGCTTCCAAGCCTCAACCACACTAACGGTAATTTGCACATCAATCTCGGTCCACTTCACATAAGAAGCCTTCTTGGTCAAGAACCTTGCAAGGTCGATGGTGGTGAGGTAGAATAACATTTTCTATTGCCACATCTCGAAGTTCAACTCATTAAATTTCGATGCCTTTTAGCTAAACCACTTGGTACCGTCACAAACACCTGAATCATAGGGATAGAACCTTGCGTGCCACCAATCACTGGATTACCTGTTAATGAACCAACATTCACCGAAGCACCAGACTATGAGTTTGCATGTGCGTACGTGAAACATACTTTCCTTAAACCGATTTAAGTTTGTAGGATTTTTTTCTAAAAAAAAAAAAAATTGAAATAAATATTACTCAAAACGGTTAAATCAAGGCATGTGAAACATTCTTTCCTTAAATCGATTTGTGTATTCCCGAGCATGCTAAGAGTGTTAAAACATCGATTTTCAAAGATGCAATGGATTACAATAATAAATTTGAGCACTCAAATATAATGCTTTTAGCGAGCGTGAACAAAGAGAACACAAAAAACTTAGAGAAGGTTAGTAGAGTGTTTTATGGGAGTTGATAATAGTACTTGAGCGAGAAAGGTGAAAGATTTTTTGTAGTGTAATGTAAAACATTATACCCAACTACATTTATATATAGGAGAGTTGTATTTTTATTTTATTTTTTTGAAACAAGAGTCAAAAGTAATTACTAATTAGCACTAATGATATTCAAAAATTGAATTTCATAAACCTCAATTTAATCTAAAATAGCCTATAAGGTTACAACTGTTACAAAATAAATTTTCAGCTTAAAAATTGGGGTTATAAATTATAACTCCTGAAATTAATGAGATTTTAATCACCCTCAATTAATTTTAGAAGATCACAAAACGAAAGAGATTACACACCAGTAGAGACTACTATTCTAAAAAATCGCACATTCAAAAGATAAGTTTTAACTGGAAGATCCTCGATCAAGCAATAGATCCTTAGTCAATTGGTAGATGAGTAGATCTTGAGGCAACTTGATAGAATCTAGCCTACTAGAAAATCTTGATTCCACAAGTGGTTCCTAATATGCCTAGTAGATATTGATCCCACTAGCGAATTTTGGTCAACTACTGTTCTAGCATATCCTACAAAAGGGTAACACTTGTGTGAGACCGTCTCACTGGTCTCAATCCGTGATACTGGTCGGATCTTTGATTTAAGGGTCAAATCTTTAATTGATGAGTAGGATCTTTGACCACATTAATCATATTAAAGATCCCACCCGTCTCACGGATTGAAACCTGTGAGACGATCTCACACAAGTTTTTGCCCCTACAAAATAATTATCTGAGATCGAGTCTCACCAGCGACAATGTGAGAACAACCTCTCAAAGTGAGGGGCTCATTGTGCGCAGGAAGCAAATGTCTAACATATGTATTCAGCTTAGTTACCATGATTTACATCCTTCCAGATGCTCTGTCGGGGCGGAGCGTGGGGGCCATTAGAGTTGGGGATTCAACCTCTTGGGCATGGTTGCAGTAAGCGCTGGGCGCTAGTCGGGCGCCCGGGCAGCGCCTAGGCGGAATCTAGGCGGCGCTAGGCGGTCGCGAAAAAAACAGTAGCAAATTTGCAATTTGACAATTTTAATGTGGTTGTTTTCAACATTCAATCAAATAACACATCCAAATAAATGACATAATGACAATTCATAAGTCATAACATCAAAAGAATATTAAAAAAATAAAAAATCAAATGAAATACCCAAATACTTCAATCATCCAAAGATTGAAAGTATCAAACTAGTCTACGAGTGTATATATGTCATATTATATGTATTTGTCATATAAATGGAAAAAATTAGCAAGGTTGAGTTGGTCGGGTTAACTCGACAGAAATTGACGAGTTAACTCGGCGTAATCGGACGAGTTAGGCGCTAGGCGGCTGAATTAGACGCTAGGTGGGCGCCTAGGCGGCCGGTCTCCTAGGCGGGAGCCTAGGGCGGAAATCGCCACGGCCTATGGGCGCCCAGCGCCTAGGCGCCGATTACTCGGTGCCTAGGCGGGATTTTTACAACCCTGCTCTTGGGAACAACAATCAAAAGACTAAATTTGTAAACACTGATTATGAGAGACTAAAGCTTAATTTGAAGATTAAAAACGATAAGTTTCCTATTTATTTTTTGACTAAATTTGTAAACACTGATTATGAGAGACTAAAGCTTAATTTGAAGATTAAAAACGATAAGTTTCCTATTTATTTTTTTGATATTTGAATATGAATAAATGCTCATAAAGATTTATATGACAACATGAGGCCAATTCATGATACATCAAATGTCTTTTAACTACTTATGTCATGGTTAATGGCTTAATGCAATTACTATTTTTAATCAATGGACCACCTCATGTCCTCATGCCTTAATGGATAACAGCAAAACATAGGTGGAAGCAATAGTGGGTTATGATTTATCCATCACTATAAGAAAATGATGTATCAAATACGGCGGGACAATTTGAATATTTTGTGATTTAATTTCTTTCTTCTTTTCTACTATACATTTTTCTCTTTAGGAAAAATTTGTCACATTAATTCTTAACTTACGCCACTACAAAATAAACGTGGAAATAACGACGAAAATTTCTTTCGCTAAAAAGGGGAAAATACGTCGTTAAAGTGATTAGCGATGACATCGATCCGTCGCTAAAGCTGTGCGACACAATTTAATTCTGTCGGTATATTTAACGACGGATATTTTCGTCGCTAAACCAAAATATTCGTCACTATTTTCTTCCCGCGACGATGTGATGATGAAATTTGCAAGGGAATAACGACGAAAAATTCTGTCGCTAAACCCAAAAAAAAAAATAAAAAATCATCGGACGATCTGATGATG